CTTATTTAAAATTGTGAATACAAATTTTTCAAATTTATTTTTTGACTAACAGTAAGAGTTTTAATTGTACAAATATGATCCTTTTCATAAACAAATGTGTTACTCAATTCTTTTTTGAAATAACATTACTAAATCGTAAACAGGATTGTGTGCAATATAATGATGTAAATCAAAGCTACTTTACCCATATACTTTATTATGACTTTTAAATAAATGTTTCGTTGTAAATGTTTAAATCGCCATAATCGAAATATGAACTATGAGCTAAAGTAAACGATGCGTCTATAGCCACTGTTGTGGCCGAAGCGCACGGCTAGCCGCTCCCTCTCATCTTCATCGTCTACACACTGTCACTACCGGGCTCTGTTATCACGGAACGGTTTTTTTTAATTGTAATTTGTAACGTTATTATAGTAGTAGATTTTACATTCTGTGATTTTTATACAATTTTTGATTTTTCATCTAGATTTAGTTGTGTGTTTCGTCTCCGTATGAATTTTAGTTTTTGTGTATTTATTAAGCCAAAAGAGTATTGCTGTGATAGATTATTAGTTAATTGTGTATTATTATTGAGTTGTATTTATTAAGTTTAATTATTGTAATTTTATTGTCTAGATTTAAGTGAGTTTTAGGTATTGTTGTCGCAGCTGCCCAGTGCACACATACAAATCATCGGTTCTGTGAGTTTTTATTAATATCGTAATTTATATTTTGTTGAGTTGAGTATTAGCTAATCATCTTGAGCAAATGATCTAGTCTATTGAGTCCATATCCTAAATTAGTTAATTTTTACCTCACAGTTACCAGTTAAGCTTTAAATACTTAATAGTTATACAATAAGATCACTATAAAAAGATTGAGTTGATTTTTGTGTTATTGTTAAGATTATTAAAAGAGCGAGTTGAGTTTTATATTTATTATTATTGAGAGAGTATATTTTATTGTTATGTGTGTTCTATAGAGTTATTATGGTTTACATATTGATATATGTTATTTAATTATTGTTATCGTTATTTTTGGGTCTATTTTTATATTTATATTGTTTTATTGATTTATTAGTGAGCCAAAGTGACAGTTGTTTTTCCTAATACATAGCTGTGATAACTGCAGTTAATTTTTTTTTAATATTTAGTTTTAAGAATTACACACAATACACATATACATACTACTAATCCAGCATTACATAGCTCACTGGTTTTGTACAGGCGAACCCTTCCACCTCCAGTGAGTCTATCACATCATTACAACACACACTGATCGGTACGGTAGAACGCGAGGAGTTGGTGACCGAGTAAAGTGGATTATATTTGTTCACATGCGGCCCACAGCCACAGAACAAATTTATTAAAAAAAAGTAATTTTCAACAAAATTGTAACTTATCACGTTTCATTAATAAACGATTCATTTGTTTTCTTTGTTCGTAAAAATTCATTAAAAATATATATTTAAAAGTGCACAGCCTTTTCGATAATCATTACACTGGCATGCCCGATAGTTTTTGTTTAAATAATCATAAGAACTATTATACAAAGATTTGCTCAAAATAATGTTATTTTTTCACTTATAATGCAATCCGTAATGTTATCATAATAGTATATTACCTTACAAAATGGCGCTAATTAGGAATATAACTTTCGAAGGCTCCTACCCGAGTCCTTTGAACACTCATTTAGGCTATCAAAAAAATTTCATGAGACAACAAGTTGGAAAGTCCCAAAGTATCATATTTTAAAATTATTATTAATTACTAATAATCGTTCAGTTCAGTTCTGTGTTGAAAATAATAACAAAATATGGTAACACGGCTCTATGTATAGGCAATTTAAAAACGTTCCAGCATACCGTACCAGTGGCGTATTCTTGGCTTTTTGTCTACATTATTCAGCCCTCGAAATTCTTTAAAATTCTGAATTTCTCAATAATATTATTAAACAAATTGTTCAGGGTGTTCAGGGAAAGGGAGTAGGCAAAGTGCTAAGAATCTATTTTTTGGAATTTTATTCCTAACACTAAATACATTTTATCGAATTTATTAAAATAAAAAATGTAAAAACCATTTTTTACATAATGTTCATTAATAATACTAATTCCTACAAATTTCCTACTAATTTCCTACAAATTTTGTGAAACGTCAAACAATCATTGGTTAAAAAACCCTAGTGATTATTTTTCTGAGACGGTTTTTTTTTAATTTTTATAATATATTCTAAAGAAGTATAATAAAACATTTTAAATAATAAAGAACCAAAAAAAAAAAAATCACTCCAATAACTCACCGCTAAGATGTCAAGCTTTCCTACTGTATATACTTTTAACTATAGTAAACACAAGTGGCCAATCGCTTGTGTCTTTTGCGATATTTGAATAAAAAAATTATTTTATATTATTTTAGTGAAAATCTAATTTTTTTAAATTCTGTAGTGCAACACGACGGTTTAAATAGTTACAACCATACTAACTACATTGTAGTTAAGTTGTAACTATTATTCAACGCATTGTGCTCAAAAAAAAATGTTTTCAGTTTTCCGATTAGCAGGTAGCGATAACTTTTAAATACAATAATAATGTACAATTACTATTTATATGATGATAGTGTCCAAGGTTAATAGCAGATTCAACGGTAACAACGGTCTAGTGTGAAAAACTTAGCTATAGAGAGGCAACTTTTTTTTTTTGCATAAAACAAGCCCACTCAAACAACAATTACCTAGCAATGCTACCATAGATATTTTTCTATATTCTTATTTGGTAACGTGGTGACGTTACATACAATATAGTCTGGTTTGATTTAATATCGTTTAAAATCATACTTGAACGTACGAAAACTGAGACATTTAGGCATATTACTTATTAGCAATGCCTGAAGGGATGGGTTCAGTTGGGCCATAAAAACAGCATGAAAAATGTTGATAGACAGACAATAAATTATGCAAATAATGTTGCCAGAAACCGAATTCAAATAAGCAGCCTTTTTTATTTTTAATTTGTATAACTAAATATATCCTGTACTCCCAGATTAAATGTTAATTGCCAACTCAGTTAGGTTGAAACTAACTCTCAGGCCCGTACTGGCTTCTCTTGTGGGGCGCTGGTTGTGCTTAATTTTTTTTAAAAATTGAATTCTAGTTTAGAGATTTATAGATTACTGGTTAAAAATAAATAAAAGAATGTATTCTTGAACATTTTTAATAAAATTACAAATGGGTATGTTTTTCTAACCACAAAACAATATTTTAACGAAAAAATGTTATTCGAATTTATTTCAGTAATAAATTCATTCACTCTAAACGTGTAAATTGTTATTCATAATCAGAAAATAATAGCACTAAATACTCAGAAATGTTAATAGGACTGTAGTTTAGTCACCCAAAGATGCCAAAAAATATCTATCCATTTTTTTGGAGCATATTATAATAATAATTATTTATTGGTTATTAACATAAAAAAAAAAAATAGCAAATATCACTAACAATAATGTTTGTCTTTTTATTTTATTACCATTTATATTAATTGTAAGATACTGATATTATTAATTATTGACTCGTAGAGTTATAGGTTCGTTTTTGTTGTAAAATGGTATTGTAGTCATGGAAACATAATATACTCCTGCGGATCTGTAAGCATAATAATATGTACAACAATTAATAGCGTCCATTAGAGGTAGGTATGTTTGCATTAAATATAAATAATTTTCAACAAACTTCAAAGAAACGTGTTCGCCAAACACAATCGAATTGTTGTCCGGCTTATTCGAGCATGTTGTACTTATAGCGTTGTTATTATTATTGTCAATGGCCAGCACATTAATTTTATTTTTAACAAGTTCTTTTATTTCGCTGCAAGGTATAGCCTTTATTCCCATGTTGTTTACCGATTCGGCGTAGAACAAAACGGCGCTTATGTGCGAACATAAGAAATCCAGCTTTTGATCCTTGCCTTTAGTAAATCATAATTGTAAGTAATTATCAATATTGAAAAAATTGTAATACGCAAATAAATTCATTTTCAACTTAGTAGTTTTATTTTTTTTTAAATACACACTGAAATTTGAATAAGATTTATAACATTAGGTATAACACCTTAATGAAAAAATATCAAATTGCAGATATTTAAAAGAGCACAGTTTACAGACTGATCAATAATGAGAGTTCTTCCTTGTTATTAAGCCCTTCGGTGTAGGAAATAAAAACTCAAACTTTCAATCCATTTCCACAAAATGTTTGAGTTTCGTGATTAATTCCTTATTATTTTAACAAACAGATGACAATGCTAATTTCCAGCAACTAACAGAGCCATCGTTGAACAAAATATAAAGAAAATCGTTGGCCATTAAAAAAGAATACAATTCGTACAGTAATAGTAAGAAAACGTTTGAATTGCCTTCCTTATGCCAATATCAATACCGTACAACTCACTTACAATTCTTAAAGCTTCAACATTGATATTCTAGAGGTATTTGACTTCTACTAAACCATTTTGGTTAAGTCTTTTTTTAATATGCAATCTTTACCATTCCTGACGACAACACGAATAAAAAGAAGGTAACAATTCAAGCTTCTTTTTACCTATTAGCATTTAGCTCTGCCTTGTATTTTATTCCAAGGAAATTGTCAGAAGCGCATTCTTCCTATGGCTCCAAATAAGGCAAAACATAATTGAACAATTGAGTGGAAAAAGGATAAAATTCCATTGAAACTTTATTTAAAAATTATAACAGGAATTATATAAATTATATATAGGAAATAAACAGATTTCTTTAATTTCCCAAAAGTTGGGTGCCGAGAAATATTATCCCTTTTCCACTCAGCTTTTCGATTATGATTTGGTATCTATAGCCAGGTTAAAATTTGTTCTAAATAATGTTTTTTTGACGTATTTATACTAAATTGTTCTTTTGTTTTCAAATGTAAATATATTAAATTAATAATTTTTTTAAAAATCATTATTGTGTACTGTACCGCTCTTTGGGCGTCAATTATTTTAAACAAATTTCTATTGTTTACGTTATGTATTCACCTCCGAGACATGCCGTTTGTATCACGCCGTTGTTTATGTAAAAATCAACAGTTCCTATGGGATCCACGTAGCCCAAAACATTGATATTGGTGTGCACCACGTCTACGAATTTAGCTATGCGAGTATTTACTCTTGGCGATCCTTCAAATAACGGACCTGCTGGGTCTAACGCTACATAAAAAACAAAAACAAATGTTAACGATCGAACCACTTATTTCAGGAATACATACATATATTTTAAGGGAAACGTCTCATTCTAATTTTAACCATACTCTCAAAAACGCGTTGGCCGACAATAGTTTTGAAAACGGACAGTAAAGACAGTATGTAAGAAAATACAATAGCCATTATTTTCCAACATTAGTGGAAATATTTGAAATCCCGCGCTTATTTAATTATCAATAGCAAAAAATGGGATTTTTTTAAAATTAAATAGGCATCTTTTTGTAATGTAAATTTGAAAAATACAAAAATGACACATAGCAATACAAAATAAATATCACTGACACTTATCAATACTTACTTGATCGAAGTACATTTTTAATTTTATTGTAAAAATAATTAAACATCTTATTAAATTGCAATTGTTCACAAAGAAGTTATTAGTTAACTAAAAATAATTTTTAAAACTGTGCCACGATCGATAGGTACCTTTGAAGAAATGTTTTGAAGTATCCCAAAGTATTTTTTTCAAATAAGGAACATATGTTTTTATACAAAATTATACTTTTGTGTCAAAATATACTTTTCTTTTCTGTGTTAATATATGCATAAGTGTGTATTAAGTAAAAAATTTAAATTTCCTGGTTTTTTGGTTCATTGCACTTTTTGGGACATTGGTATTACAATATACTTAATAGCCTCCTACACGTGTACGAATATTGGATTTTGGAAGAAAGAAACTGATGTTTTTACTTTTAGATGACAGCGCGTTAGTGAAGCTCAATAGGTACGCAGTATACCTATATTAATTCTGGGGCTTGGGTCAAAAAGGGGGCTAATCTCAGTTTTTGCCGAAAATTAATTAGACCATTAAATACAAAAATTAAACCATCCTCTACTGTGGAAAAATGACACTATGAGGACAACTATTAAATAACTTATGAAGAGTTTGGTAAAAATGTTAACGTAATGAAGCATAATGAAAAATGAAATCTTTAAAGTTCATTTGCCAATGGACTAAATTTTCCAATTTTCTAAAATGCACCCAAGGCGTTTGTGCACTATGCCTATAATTATTATTAGTATTGCCGTCGATAAGCTATATGTTCTATATGCTCACCAGTCACCCTGTCCACCAAATTTCCGGTCAGTCGCACATAGTGTTTGCCTACTTGGCCGGCTATATGAGCGCCAAGGCTGTGGCCGATCAGGTGTACGTGATTCATATAGGACCTCGAGGTTAGCGTTAACACGACGAGGTCGACAACTTGCTTGGCTATGTCCGGTACGTCGCAGAGTACCAATTTCACGTACAATGTTCCCAATTCGAATATGGAAACGTTGGCGACAATGCTGGAGTAATCTACCAGGACGACGTTACGGTTTGCCACTCCGTTTAAATAGCCTATAAATATATTATAGAGCAAGAACAACAACAAAGTAGGTACATTAAAATGTTTTAGATTCTTAGATGTCTTAAAGTTATCATAACTTTTTTTTTCTATTTCCAATACCGTACTTATTTGATTTTCGAAAAATCAAGAAAGTAAAATTTCAGATAGCCGCCACTAAAAATATCACTTTTGTGGGGTTAGGCGGTGCTTATCGATAAAACAAAAAAGACATTGTAATTTGTAGTTATTCATTCTTAAAGCCATCAGTGCCTTATATACAAACACGAGTATGTGTATTTTATAGTTACAAACCAGTTCGTAGGGTAGTGACGTATGGGTCGTCGTAGCGCTCAGTATAACCGTGAATGATAATAATAAGACTTCTGCTGTTTACAAACGGAGCATGTTTAATTGTGTCCTCGTCTACCGCCAATCTAGACAGTCTATTTCTAAAAAATGTTAACGACTTAGGTTCGTTAAATGACAAGAAATTAAATTAAGGAAGGTGCACAAAGGAGGGTAATTGCGAGATACCTCTTGACCATATTATAAAGACAAGAGATTTTCTATTGCCTCTATTATCACTTTTCATTATTCCAAGAGAGCCCTATGAACATAGTAGTTGTGATAATGTGCTAAGGACACTTATATTTTTATGACCCTTTATGACCTTAGAGTCTTAAGTTTAAGCTTAAGAGTTTAATATAAACGTTAAGACTATTTCCATATGCTTACTTGGTGTACAAGAAGTACTTCATGTTATCAATATTAGACGGCCTCAACATACAAACGGGATTCGTCAAAGTTATGCCTTCGCCAATCAACGATAACAGAGTTAAAACGGTCAAAATGCAAAACACAGTAAAGTCCATTGAGTCCATATTTATTTTAGAATATCGGCAACACCTGTAGGATTCAGACGTCTGATTTAAATACCAAATATAAATAATAGTAGTTCAGTATAATAGACTATAATATTATGACACCTGTCACCTGACCCAGTTCAGATAGTATTGTAAACGAATAAGGTGAATGTAAATGTGATTTTTTTTCAAAAAAAAAAAAAAAACACCATTTGAATTGAATATTTATAAAAGAAGTAAAAATAACCGTTTTCACATACAATTTTACTTGAAAAAAATTATTTAAAAAAAAAATATATTATTCTTATTTAAAATTGTGAATACAAATTTTTCAAATTTATTTTTTGACTAACAGTAAGAGTTTTAATTGTACAAATATGATCCTTTTCATAAACAAATGTGTTACTCAATTCTTTTTTGAAATAACATTACTAAATCGTAAACAGGATTGTGTGCAATATAATGATGTAAATCAAAGCTACTTTACCCATATACTTTATTATGACTTTTAAATAAATGTTTCGTTGTAAATGTTTAAATCGCCATAATCGAAATATGAACTATGAGCTAAAGTAAACGATGCGTCTATAGCCACTGTTGTGGCCGAAGCGCACGGCTAGCCGCTCCCTCTCATCTTCATCGTCTACACACTGTCACTACCGGGCTCTGTTATCACGGAACGGTTTTTTTTAATTGTAATTTGTAACGTTATTATAGTAGTAGATTTTTATACAATTTTTGCTTTTTATCTAGATTTTGTTGTGTGTTTCGTCTCCGTATGAATTTAAGTTTTTGTGTATTTATTAAGTCAAAAGAGTAAATAAATATTGTAAACCAATATTTAAAATTTATATTTTAACTAACAGTAAGGGTTTTAAATGAACGAATATGACCCTTTTCATAAACAATTGAGTTACTTAACTCTTTTCTGAAATGACATTACTAAATCTTAAACAGGATTGTATGTAATAGAATGATGTAAACCAAAACTACATTACTAATATACTTTATTATGACTGTTAAACAAATGTTTTGTTGTAAATGTTTCAATCGCTGTAATAAAATGAACATTCTGTTAATAAAATCTATATTATGTTAACAATATGTATAGGCTACATTTCTCGATCTATGGAATTTCGGAAAACACCGGAAGAAACATTTCTGTATCATAACCTTCAGAGTCCTTTGAAAACTCATTTCGGCTCTTAAAAAATGTTATCAGCCAACAAGGTGGAAAGTCCCAAAGTAACATATTTTATAATTATTATTAATTACTAATCGTTAAGATCAGTTTAATCCTTTGTTGAATAAAATAACAAAATATTGTAACTCTATGTATAGGCAATTTTAAAACGTTTTGGCATACCGTACCAGTGGCGTTTTCTAGGCTTTTTGTCTAAAATATTTTTTTAAAATTCTGAATTTCTCAATAATTTTATCAAGCAAACTGTTTAGGTAAAGGAAGAGAGGAAAGCGCTAAGAATATATTTTTTTGAGTAAAAAAGAAATTTTATCGAATTTATTTAATAAATGTAAACAAAAATCAAAAAATTAATAATCAACGTTACTCGAAATGTTGAAAACTGAAATATATTTTGTATGCACAACGTTTTATGTTTGCTTGAAAGAAAAAAACAATTTTCCTAAACAAAAATGAAAATTGCGTAGAACAGAAAAACAAAGCATTTGATATTACTGACAAATACAATTTTAATTTGTAAGACAGTTTTGCAGAAAATCATTGTAATTTTTTTGTTCGCATAATTCTTTCAGAAAAATTAATTCGACAGGACGCAAATTTTTAAGAAAAGAAAACCAATCTAGAAAGATTGAAAACAATCATTGGTTGAAGTACCCTAGTGATTATTTTTCTTTTTTTTTTATTCGAATAATATATTCTAAAGAAGTATAATAAAACATTTTAAATAATAAAGAACCAAAAAAAAAAAAACACTCCAATAACTCACCGCTTAGATGTCAAGCTTTCCTACTGTATATACTTTTAACTATAGTAAACACAAGTGGCCAATCGCTTGTGTCTTTTGCGATATTTGTATACAAGAATATTTATATATTATTTCAGTGAAAATCTAATTTTATTTAATTCTATAGTGCTACACGCTGTTTTAAATAGTTAAAATCATACTAACTAAATTGCAGTTAAGTTGTAACTATTATGCAACACATTGTGCTCCACTAAAAATAATGTTTTCAGTTTTCCGATTAGCAGGTAGCGATAACTTTTAAATACAACAATAATGTACAATTAATATTTTTATGATAATAGTGCCCAAGGTTATTAGCAGATTAAACGGTAACAACGGTCTAGTGTGAAAAACTTAGCTATAGAGAGGCAACTTTTTTTTTGCATAAAACACGCCTACAGTCATTTAACAATGCATATCAGTGGCAATGATGAAGAATCCAAAAAATAATCGTTTGTCACGCTACTGATAACCAAATGGCGGATATTGTTGTGTTGAACATTCTGGAGCAAGGACGCCCACATGAAGGGAGGACAACTCTCTCCTAGTTTCTGCACAAGTTAAAAAAATGTATATCCAATACCCCAAATTTATAAAATATATTACAAAATCATAGGTGGCCCTCCCACCTGAATTTTCACCAGTGGGCTAGCCTATCTGGAGTAACCATAATAAAATGTTTTTCACTGTTATCAGGTACCTAGCAATAGTTATTGCTAGAGCCAGAAAGTTCATGCATTTTCATGTTATTTTTTTTAATGGTCCGAAAAATAGCTATATATAAGCTACAAATTTTGAATTACACTTTTAAAGGATTCGAATCAAAAATTTATTGTTTTGCATATTTCCATAATATTCATAATATATAATATTGCAGTATACATAATATACTATTACTCTTATTTTATTGAAATAATGTTTACATGTTGCATAAATATTCAAGGTGTCAATAAATTATTGTATTTCATAATAAACTGATTTACTCACGATTATAATGACATTTATTGCATATGAAGTGTTGATTTAAACAGGTAATTAATAATTTTTATCATAATTTAATACATTCGAAACGTTTTTAAAACTATAAATGTGCAGACCTTTTGCGTCCATCCCCATCTTTAGCCATTTTTTCCCAGTAAGGTTTAAGTTTAGTTTTAGATTTAGGCTTTAGGTCAAGTTTACAATTGGTAAAAAAAATCAAATGTCGGACTTTTACCAACACTAGTTGTTATTATAAGATTTGCCAAATCTCGTTTGTTAAAGTTTGAAAACAATAATATAATTTTAACCTAAGCAGATTATTTTATCTATACATTTAACTTTCTAATTTAATAAATAGATTTATTTAACACACTAATAGCCTAATATTCGTATTTTAAATTAAAGTTATAAGTTATAACTGAAACCTTCAACTAAAACCTGAACTCATTAATTTTTTTTTCCATTTGACGAAAGTTTTATAAAGTTAAAAAACTTTTTCTGATGAATCCACGAGGTTGCAAGTGTGCCACTATCCTATAAACAACTTTGTTATTGCTATACTTATCCTTGACAATCGACTACGTATTTCATATCCCAAATTATTATTCCAACAAAAAACTATGAAAAAGTTTCCACCCCCTTCTTACAGATATATAAAACTATATCTGTATAATCACCAGATTTCTGAGCGATTGCCATCTTATGTTTGCAAAAATCAATTTAACCTATTTGGAAAAAAATGGGATAACTATAACATTTGAATAAATATTACAAAAATTTAACAATATCCTTTGACTTTTTTACTGTAATTTTTCGTGATAAAATGATCAGCGTTATATCATAAAACTATAAATAATTTAAAAAAAAATATATTTAAATTACACCAAGCTATTACAATACCAAATATCATTTACGGTTTTTATGTATTCTATATGGTAGATGGTAGTAATTAAATATTAAATAACATTCTTGAATAAACGTGTTTAAAAAGTCTTGTAATGTAGAAAAGAAATGCATTGATCTAATTGAAATAAGCTTCCGTATCCGGTACTTCCTGCCAACTTCCATCGCCGTGTCTGAGAGCTACTTTTCTGACAAGGTCTGTTGACGGCCTTTTGAGGTCGTACGCCCATCCGATCTTGGCGAACATGTCCAACAGCAACGTTGTACCATTGACCATGTTGCCGCCATATTCTTGGGCACTGTAATCCCACGGGAAAGTATGATGATAGTTGTGCCATCCTTCTCCGGAGGTCAAAAGAGACACAGTCAAGCTTTGCACAGGCCTGATGCGCCTGAAAGCAAAACATATTATCGACGATTTCTGAGTGTGACCATAAGTAATTTATTCTTCTTTATCTTCGCCTTACACTCCCCCAACTACATGGAGTCAGTTACCCTAGTACTACACCTCCACAGAGCTCAATCTTCTCTACATCTCGTTCAAACACCCCAGCTCTCCTCATATCACTCTCTGTATTTCCTTTGGTCTTCCTCTTCCTCTCTTTCCCTCTACATTCATCTTCATAACAACTCTCACTGCCTCTGCGTCTTTCCTCATAAACATGACCGAACCATCTCAACATATGCTCTCTTAATTTCCCCACAATTGATGCAACTCGTAGACTCCCCTTGTAGTCACTTTACTCACCCATCTTAGTATTCTCATCTCCGCTAAACTAATTCTCTGTTCAGTTTTCTTGTCTACTGCCCAACATTCCGACTCATATAACATTGCTGGCCTTATAACCGTCCTATCATATTTACCTTTCAATCTCATAGGCATCTTCCAGTCACACAAAACACCTGAGTCCTGACGCTTCCCCTCCACTTTATCCATCCACAATTTATTATTACTTATGACTTACTTGTCATAAGGTTTGGATCCAAAATAGTGAGCCAAGCTGTTGATACATAAAACGAAGTGGTTAAAGACAACCAATCGTAAAAATCCACTAATACAAATTGCTTCCATCCAGTTTTCATTCCAGAAGATCGCTGGTACAGTGATTGGAATCACAAGGCTCAAAAGTATAAAAAAAACCCGAAAATATCTAAAAAAAGAATATATAATATATATATATATAAATTGAACAAATATTCTAATCAATACAAGTTATATATTTTTTTAATGCTTTAATAATAATCAATACGTAGCATAGTGAGGTAGCAGTTAAAATATTTAAATAACGTACTTGGTGTGGAATTGAACTAAAGGATCATTGTCCAGGTCGGACATGTCAATAATCTTCCTAAGACGATGGACTTCGGGGTGGCGACGTAGCACAATCCATCCGATATGAGAGAAAAACAGGCCTCGAGTGGCGTTGTGCGGATCACCATCGGTGTCACTGAACTTATGGTGCAGCCTGTGGTCCGAAGCCCAAGCAGTCACTCTTTTCTGTAGACAAAGGCCAGAACTAGATAATTAAATCACAATAAGACCAATAACAATTATTACCTGTCCGGCAACTGAGTAGCAAGCTAAAAGTATCACTTGTAGTGGTAACTTTGCTTTGAACGATTTGTGTGAGTAGTACCTGTGCGCACCTGCAGTTACGCCAAATTCTCCAATGTATCCTACTAGAATAGCTGTAACATAAGGTAAATATAGATGGAATAAAAACCTTTAGCTTTCATTGCATGGACACAAATTAATTTCAATACAAAACAATAAGTCCAGCATACATATTTCTCAACACAGGGCGTTAGTAGTCTTCATTTATTGTCAAGAACTAATAGTATGAAATATGAAGTCATATGGTAAAAGCATCGAGAGCTACAGAAAATTGTCGTTTCATAGATTTTCTTTTGATACTTCAACAACATACAGTCCCCCTAATTTTTTTCAATACCAGAGGGAAATTCGACAAAATCAATCATGCTACACATTAATACAGTTCTAATGAAGCGATAAGTTATTCGTTATTTGTACAACTAGTTACAAATAACTAGTTACAACAGTTAATTTTTAATTTTAAAACTAGGCAATGGGTATTAACTTTTTTGAGTATAGAGTTTCAGATATTGGAGGGATAAACCCCCTGGGCTCAGCTGGGCTTGACCAAAAAAAATTAATTTTATTGTTAACTCTGTTTGTAAATATACTACATACACCACAAATAGCTAAGTTTTCTCACCCCACACAATTGTCGCCAATTTCACGGTTTTTAAGTAGCGTATCGCACAGATGACGGCTACCACGTGGGCAATAAAGAAGTATATTGCAACGGCCCAATAGATTTCGTATTTGTGATGTGTCTTTTGCGGTTTCGGCGGTTCGGGCATGTCTTCTTCCTTGTTGTTTTCGACCAACGGCTCGGCCACCGGCTCTTCGGTCTTTGATCTCAATTGTACGCCCATCTCGTTGACTCGTCGACAATATACAATAATTTCCGTCACCAAATGGTCTGAAATGGTCATAGGGGAAAGAATGTTGATCCAGTTAAAAATAAGAGAGCTTTAACTATAGGCCTCTCGTCGACAGGTATTCTTAGAATACTTAAATTTTAAATGAAATACAAGCACTTGAAAAAAAGTTGTACTTTTATAAAAATACAGTGTACTTACTACTTACTGTAATGTTAATTTTTTTACTGCTGAGAGCGTCTATGGTGTAGAACAATTACTTCTTTTAGATATATTATAATAGAAGAAGTAATAATACTTTAGAAGTTGTGGATGTTTAGCGTTCGCTGTATTACTGAAAACCCGGTACAACTTTTTATAGCTCTTACTGTCACACTGACATCTCCAATCGTCCTTCGTGGACAGGTTTTTATTTGCACCTACCTAATTAGCAAAACAATTTATTGACATTTTAAAAATATTAAATCATTACCAAAATAATGTGTTGCAAAAATAATATTTTTATAACATTTAAAAACGTTTCAGATACCTGCGTAACGCTTTTTTCTACACAAGTTTTTGGTAACAGTTTTTGACATTTTCATGTCTTAGCTCTAGCACATACCGAAAAAACTGTCTTTTTATAAAATATTTAGAAAACAATCTGTTATGAATTACAATAAAACATTGCTTTCAAAATACAGGGTGAATTATTTTTCGAGGGCCACTCAAAATCTCACTGGGTTTAATTAATAACATCATTTTTTGATTTCATAGTGCTTTCATATAATGTGATCTCAATTTGCCACAAATTTGTATGTTTGATGTTTTTAGGTTACCTTTTAAGTTTCAAAAGTTGAAAAATAATTAGTTTGGGAGGGGGTTAGGAACATACAAATTAGTGGACAATTTAGATCACATTAAATGAAAAAAAAAAAAAATTATTAATTAAACCCAATGAGATATGGAGAGGCCAATAATAAAACAATCACCATGTAAATTAGAATTATGTTTATTTTTTGATATTTTATTTTATGACATATTATACAAAACATTTTTTATAAAAACATATTTATTAAACATTTTTTATAAAAACATATTTATTAAATATTATTTATCAAATATTTTAATATTTAGAAAAAAAAATGTTTTTTAATGTGATTATTATATAATGTAGCATAATTTTAATGAGATACATCAATTTATATGATTTGCGTTCAAATTTGATATTAATTGTAAAGTCGGACCCCTATTTATGGAGTTACGGGGAATTTAGGGGGTAGTTCTAAATACAAAAAGAAAATGCATCTATTAATGTTTTTGCGATAATTGAAATCAAATAATGTATAATATTTACAATCAAATATGATTTCCGAATGCAAAACATTTGTAATTGAATCCCTAAATCATCATTTTGAAAATTTGATTTCATGGTTGAACTCAGTGAAGTTAAAATATATATTTTGGTAGGTATATTTGATATTTTACAATTATTTAAAAAATGTACTCTTTATATGTCCCTAAATTAGAGAACATTTTAAACCGATATTAGAATTGAACTTAGAAACCTTAAAAACAAACATTTTAAAAACGCCTAATGACAAATTATATATATTTTTTAAAACTACCCCTACTTCTACTCCTAAATTAGAGTAAAATTTACTAAAAAAACATAATATATTAAAATCCCAGTTTAGATAATGTAATATGTGACATACATATAATAATATAAACTCCTAAAATTTATATTGTTATGACTTACGAATGAATTGTATGAAATTTTCCAATTTGACGGTTCGCCTAAGGTATTGTTAACAAACTCACAAATTTGTTTTATTCAAATTTTTTAAAACATAAAAAAAAGAACTTTTGTTAATGAGGGTCTAACAGAAACTTGAAAATGTTTAATAAAGTTGTGTCGGTATAAACTTACAACCTAACCTACCACAGCATATTTTAACAACTGCGCTGGTCGACAAGGATGTCACTTATTTATTTAATTAAGTTTGTTCCAATTTCTTAAAAAATATTTTTTTTGTATAGTGACTATCGTAATAACATTAATCATTATGTCCCGATTTGTTTGCCCAACAACTAATATACACGCAGATATACTTTCATTAGTTATTACCTAACGGCTAACTTATCGATAAACTAGTATTTCCAAAACAAAATCTAGAATAAATTACTACAGTAGCCTTAATATATAGAAAACAAAAGTAGACTACATATTGATGGTATTATCTAGGATCATAAAAGTTTCATTTTTTGAAAGAGACAATTTTATTATAAACGCTTATGTATTTGAATGTGTTGAAGCTTTCGCGGATTTAAATATCACATGATATATCCGAAAATTATTCATGTGACGCTTATATATTATTGCGTTATTCTCAAAAAGTTATCATAATATGATGTACGTTATTTGTGTTGCCTACTTATAGTTAATAATTTAAATTTTAACTTTTAAATAATATATTTACTGTACTTTGGGCATAGCGCGTTATCAAACGAACAAATATGAGTTTAATAAAAGGAAATCTGCGTATGGTGAACGGGTGAAGATTGTTTTTCCTTATGTAAATTTAATGAAATCACTGCGACAAAAGTATCTGGGTGTATATTAATTTATCTAAAATTTATGGATGTGACTAAGTAATTAGTATAGCTCATATAAGTGGTTTGTTTTGTTAAACACATTTAAATATCAAATTAATTAAGACAGACAAATAATATATTACGGTCGAATAAATATATTTTTATAACGTTTTTTATTATATTAGAACGTTTTTATAAACTCACAATTTTGTTTGTCGTTCCGGGTGGAATCTTGCAATTCAAAAAGACTTATTTCTCACCCGCAAGCAATAATTATGCGTGGTGCGTTTGGGCGTAAACGTTGCTCAGATATGAGCGGTACCAGGTTCAAACCCGTGTTCCCATCATTACCCTTTTTTGCATTTTCTTACAACTTTTATTCAACTTTTATGATAATTTATATAGTAATTACAACTTAATTTCAACTTTTATGATAATTTATACAGTTATAATTCTAAAATTATAAGCTTTTAAATTGATTACTAATTCTTATGATAATCCTTCTGACCATGCAGCAATAACATTGTACATTTAAATGTATAGATACGTACATAAGAAAACGAAAAAGAACAAAATAACTAAAGTAGATTAAAAAATTAATCTAAAAATAACGTTTTTATGCGCCTTTAAAAGTATAAAATAACCCTCCGGAGGTCTTGATAACCAAATAGGACAGATGAACTAGAAAAACGTGGGGCGCATCTTTACTACTTCACACGTCTGAGTATATAATAACATTCTCTTCTCATTAATAACTCATAATTCATGCACAATCATCTTTTCTCTTCTAAATAAAATAATACTTAATGACATGTCATGTAAAATTGAGCACCACATTACTTTAAATGTTAAGCAAGTAGGTAGTTAAAAAAAAATTGAAGCAACCTACATAAAACAAACTTTGGAGAGAATAGCAATTAAGTCTTTTCAATTTGCAATGAAATTTAAGGCAAGTGGCACGGAAATCCATCAAATTTCATTCCCAAAAAAAAGTCATACTATCACTTTCTGATCCGTTCGGTTAGAGAGACAGCATTATTAGAGACAACTTAATGCATTAGCATGAAAGCTTAGGTTTTAATATCTAAGTAGAAAGATGCGCCCCACGTTTTTCTAGTCCATCTGTCCTATTTGGTTATCAAGACCTCCGGAGGGTTATTTTATACTTTTAAAGGCGCATTAAAACGTTATTTTTAGATTATTTTTTTAATCTACTTTAGTTATTCATAGTAATATTCAGTACTGATAATAATACATTTATTTTTAGTTTAATAGCACTGTAGCTACTCTGTATGATTTCTATTTAAATACAACATTAAAGTTTGATAACTATTTAATTATTTTTAGAAATAAAACATTTTTTAAGTGAAGTATTTGCTGCACCCTAAAAAGATATTATGTTATTATTATTTTATCTCATTGCATTACACTAATTCCAGTTTTTTCAGTTACAAAAAAAATATATTACAATAGATAGATTTTACTTTTATGTTGTTTAAGCTGTTCTTCATACGCAGCAATCACAGTTTAAACAAAATTTGACTATATTTATTAAGATAACTCTGTGAACGGATCTGAATTCAGGCCAGGGTACTTATTATGCAAGTTTTGTTTTCAATTAGTACAAATAAGTACAGCATAAATATTTCGTTGCCTAGTTAAACAAAATAACAGTACATGGATTTTTAGTTTTTTTTGACAAATCAAATCAATACTAAAAATACCAGACATTGGATATTTTTAATTGATTTATGATTAACCTTTAGATATGTTATTGTACTTTAAAACATTTCTTGCTATACCTGTTATAAGTAAGCATCACGGACACCCGCTTTTTAATTGGCTTACCTCTAGCATTTATTCTAAATTTAAACCATTTATTATTTACTCTAATCGGGAAGCAAGTAGAACCAGACACTCGCTTTTCAACTAACAACCTATCATGACATCCGTGTAATTTACACGTTTTTGTGACCAGGGTGAGAAAAAGGTTATACATTTTAAAAACATTTTACAATAACTTAATATGACAGAAGATATGCAATAAAAACAATAAATTATTTAATAAATAATTATCTTTTTCTAGAATATAAAACAACTTAAATTCAAATTAAGAGTTTATCTTCTACAGAACAATTATTTTTTCAAAACCATACAGTTAATATTATTATTATCATAATACTTATATTATCTTCAAGTAAAAACTAAATCAATAATACAATTTAAATTTCATATTCGACTGTGAATTTTTCTGATGATCCCAAGGCTTGGGTAAATTTTGAAATCGTTATAGAGAAATGAAAAATAAGTTAAACATTTTAAAAACGAGATTACAATTACTTACAATTGATTTAGACCGAGTTTTATATTATGGTAAGGGGGGGGGGGTCTAACTTCACACACGACTACCTAAGTACCTTTACTTTATTGGGCCAAATCACCGTGCATTTTAAATTGAAACTCTTTAATGAATTGTTACGACGAGCCCGGTGAGTGTAATATTATTTTATTAAAAACTAAGTGTCTGTCATTACTCAACTAATGTTTACAAGATTTTTTAAATTGTGTTTTTATCTATTAATTATACATAAATGTTTGTTATAGATTACTATTTCAGTGTTTTTTTTTAATTGGACATGTACAACATGCTCAAACTCTTAAATTTTTTTATAATATTTCGAATTATTATTATGAAATATATCAAACATTACTATTTTGAACTTCTAACTTCTGTTCTAACTTGTATTCTTTTTATACAACTAGATTGTTTTTTAATTATAATTTAAATGTAGTTTTAGTATGCAATGTGATCAAAATTGTATGTTATAGCCAGGACTCGGCAATAAAGCACATCAAATAATCAAAATAAAATCTTCATTATAAGCACATTAAAATGAGCAAAAAAAGCAAACTTAAAAATAGTGACCCTTCTGCTAACTCCAAAAATGAAACAAATATCCAGTCAGAAATTCAAATTTCTCCTTGTATTATAAAATTCTAGATATTTTTTCCCATGCTGATTATATTTTTTGAAATCTAATAAAATGTAGATAACAAAAACAAAACAAATATGAGTTGAAATTATATTTAGTTTTAGTTCTATTGGAAACACACACTGAAAAAAAATCAAAATTTTTTTTGCATAAAAAAAACCAGAAATCACTAATAACAAGCTTTTTTTTTAACCCATCGAAATAGCAAAAACGGCACTTTCAATTTTCATATACTATCTGCTACATTTTAAGTCAAACCAAAAAAATAATAAGAAAATGCTATAAGCTTCGAGCCCAATTAGGTTGTTAAAACAGTTGTTCTAATAATTTTTCAAAACAAAAAATATAATATCCAAAAACGCTTTAGAAACGTTGAGTAAACAATTTGACTGACAATTGTATTTGTGTTGCGTGCTGTCGTTTGAAAAGTAAAAAAACAAAATCATTAAAACGTAATTTAAGGAGAGAAAAATATGAACAATATTTGCCAAAAAAATTGTACTGTTTGAATAAGTAGGTCACCCTAGTTACATTAGTGACTAATGATAAATAAATATAAATGTAACGATGTTAATTTAGTTCGGTCCTAATTTTCGGTGTCTCAATAAATGCCGGGGGAAATGTTCTAATTGAGGCTTTAAACAGTAGTTAGGAGTTATAAATTCACAATCTTATTAAACAATGTCAATATACACTATATTTTCGATTAAGATAGTTGATTCGTACCATATTATTTAATCGTTTGGGTACAATTAATTTTTTGATATTAAAATACAAAAATCTACAGCTATTTAAAAATCGTTTTGATTTATCGAAATGACACACTGACATACACTGACGCCCCCGTGTTAACAAAAAATGATATACTATGCGATTTAAACAAGTGTTTTTATAAATAATAATTGATTCGCATTAATCTTATTATAGGCTTTCAATGGCTATAAATGTACAAACAAACCGTATAGTCAATTCATAAATAATTTCCAAATTTCAAACTGAGTACGGCACTCATCTTAAATAACGCGCTAACAAAAGGTAAGTGAATTTAGTAGTAAAATCTATATACGTTTAATTTATTTGTCGCTTTTTTGATAATCGGTGTTGAGTTTTTTTTTATTATGGGTGGTTCTTGTGCACATATCATTTAGGCTAACTAAGATGTGTTATCCAAATAAATCATTATTATAAAAAAAAAACAAATATTCTATTTAATGTCGTACACAATAAATTTACTACATAATACTCTTTTTTACACACATAAACGATTGTAATTTATAGCCCCAAACGTTATAATTGACAAGTCATCATTTTAAAACAATGTAGTCATTAAAACGGCTGTTTTGATTTTTTTTGTAAATGTAATAAAATAAAAAGCTAGTACAGCGGGGTTGGAGCATAGTGGGGACGGAAAGGTCACAGGTCTACAGATTTTATTATAACCGAAAGTGGTAAAATCACTTTTAATTAAACGCTTCGATGCGAATCTGTGGATAGAATGTTCAAACCAGTTATTTAGCCATTCAGCGGTTTAGAAGATATCGTGGGACCAGCAATAATGTACTTAAAATTTAATATTTTAGTCTTGTGCAGGGTGGACACGATAAGGGTTGATCGTCTGTCTAAAAAAATGTACTGTTATAGTTACCCATATATCGTAATTAACAATATAATAAAAATATTTTCATTACCTGTTGTCTGTTGATTCACTCACACATAGCAACCTAGAAACTGACTACGGCCAAAGTGTAAATTTACCCTATTTTTGGTGTTTTTCCCTAATAAAAAAAAAAAATGACTACATATTTTTGAGAAGATTTTATATGTTATAGTTCCATTTTAGATCTACCTTCGGTCTATTTTTCAGATCTAAATCTTTAAAATTTTGTTTGAAAAAGTGAAATAAAGAAAAAATTTCTATTCCTTCTAGGGGAAAGGATTTATGATATTTTTTTGGTTTGTTAATGTTTATCGATAGTACTATGTTTGAAGAACAATTCATAAAAAATTTAGAACATTTTCGACTATTTTTACAAAAGTTATAGAGCACCGTAATTTTAAGTTGAAAAATTTGTAAATTTTTTGGGTGTTTTTCTCGATTTTGATGGGGAAGGGGTGACTTTTTTAAGTTTTTGGCCCAATAACGTACCTTCCAGGTATGATTTCTGAGTTGCTACACGAATAAATCGGCTCAGCAGTTTACGAGTTATCGTGGGTCCAGACAAAAAAAAAATAAAAACACATCATTGTAAAAACAATACCTTCTTAGCTCCACACCGAAGCTAAAAAATAGTATAATACTTAAAATAGAAAAATTTGACTTCAGGAAAACTGCATTTACTTATTATGTTACGCAATTTATCAAACTACATTTTTTTTTTTCAGAAAAGCAGGAAAATGAAATTAATTTTTATTACATTATTTGAGATGCTTAGTGCAGTATGCATTCTTTGTGAAGTAACTAATGGTAAGTTATGAATTAGTTTATCTATTATAAAGTAATTAATATGCACATAAAAAATAAGCGCATATTTCTTTAGCGAAGTAAGGACGGACTCAGTTGAATTACTTGCACCATAAACAGTATTATAAAAACAGAATTTTTTTTTTATTTTCATTACCTCACTTTTTAATTGTTTTATTACATTTATCATACCATAACCTTTACATCTACTCAGTATTTGTTAAGAAGGTTAGTCAATTTTTTTACTGACTTAAGGTCAAAATTTCAATTTTTTTTTATCCTAATACAACATACTGTACTCTTTTAATTCATAACTTTGTTTTTAATTTTTTTTTTGTGATGTACAAAAAACTTTAAAGTGCCATACTTTAATTAATATGCACATAAAAAATAAGCGCATATTTCTTTAGCGAAGTAAGGACGGACTCAGTTGAATTACTTGCACCATAAACAGTATTATAAAAACAGAATTTTTTTTTTATTTTCATTACCTCACTTTTTAATTGTTTTATTACATTTATCATACCATAACCTTTACATCTACTCAGTATTTGTTAAGAAGGTTAGTCAATTTTATTTTTTTATAAAGCATTTGAATCAACTAAAACATTTTGATTTCGTTAATAATAATGTAAAAAATGTAACGGTTCAATTAGTCGTATTATTGTTTAATAAAACATATCGAAAAAAGTGGTTTTATAGTGCAAATAATTTGTTATAAAAAACATTGTTTTATAATAATATTATTCCATCTATGGTTTTCTCAAACCCATTTTATGTTTTTAGAAGAAAAAGATTGTTATTAAAATGAAAAAAATAATTTATATATTATATAAATATAATTTATTAAAAATGAATATTTTATAATAAATAAGTGGGTATTATTGTAACATCATTCTCACATAATGTGGTTGATTTATTAATTTCTTTATAAAACAATATACTACTCATTGCATCGATAAAGAAAATGTATTATAATATAACTTTAATATGTGTTTGTTTTAGTTCCACTCTATAGACTGGCAGTTACGTGAGCTACGACCATGTGTGTGCACAAATGGATTCGTGTATTACGGTTTACAAAATATTAACAGAAAATAATTACAATTGATAATAAAATGTAATATTAATTTCTGTAAAACTACCTACAACACAATAAATGATTTAAAATAAAAATAAATTGCGTTCATACAAATGTCAAATAACATTATATAAATATCTAATATTACATATTAGTTAACGGTAAGCACTATTACCTACACCAATGAAATATATAGATCCAAGGTCGAAAAACATCTGTTGAAAAAACACCATAACTGAATCGCTTCATATGCAAAAACGGCCTTGATCCTGAACTTTAAACTTTTGGAAAAAAGAAAAAAAAATTTTTTTGTTAAGTCCTCATAATATGTTTAGTGATAAAAAATCATTTTTTATAAAAATTACATTTTTTTTTTTTTTAATGTTAAATTTTGCTATTTATTTGGTATACTTGTTTTGTAATTTTGCAACAGTTTGCAAACTGAATTTCGAGTAGTTAAACCCATAATAGTCTTCCAAAACCACATTTAAAGTGTTCAGGTTTTTTTGCAGCTCTTAAAATATAAAATTGTGCCTAAAAAAACAGAAACTCCAAGTAGTTTTGACCCATCTAAGTACATCTGCATACGATTCCGGATCTAATGTTTTTTTTTAATTTCCAATTTATATTTTATTTAACTACATTTTTTTACTATTTCAAATATCCTGTTTTTTTTTTTTTAATAAACATATACTTGAATTTTGAATTTAAATTTTATACTTTAATAATGTTTTTATTCGAATATTATTTTAATTTTTATTTTAATCAACTTTTTTTGGATACAATTACATTCAGATTTAATAATTGCATTGACTCAACTTTTTGCTAACTTCTTCTGTGCTGATTTATACTGTACTTGGTCTGAACTGTGCTTGGTTTTTGTTATTTGCGGCACTTTATAGCTATTACTACAGCCAGAAAGTTCATGCATTTCCATGTTATTTTTCTGAAATGGTCTAAAAAATAGCTACCTGGGTCATTCAATGCAAAATCACCTAATGATTACCTTAAGTTCACGATCACGTTACATAATGACTAATTATGATATTGTATAGGAACTTTCACTAAACAATTTTAATTAAGTGTTCTTTTTCATAATATACTTGAACAATTTTTTTTTAAATACTTAAGTACTTAAAAAATGAAAAACAAATTCAAAATTGTATGGATTTCATTCAATTTTTTTACTGACTTAAGGTCAAAATTTCAACTTTTTTTTATCCTAATACATCATACTGTACTCTTTTAATTCATAACTTTGTTTTTAATTTTTTTTTTGTGATGTACAAAAAACTTTAAAGTATGGCATTTTACTAAAAAGTGATATACTTAAGAACCTATAACTTTTTATCCCTACACTGACTACGGTCAAGTAAAGGAACCGCCAACACTTACTTTTCAATCTCATTTCGTCTTGTACGATGGCAAATGTCTGTCGTTCAATGGTTACACAAAACAATCAAACCCCGAATCGCCATTGGACAGTTGTGCTCTTGCGATCAGTTCACCAAAGAGTTTTTGACCAGCCAGGGTATTGTAGTGACCCCGGACGAACCCGTGCCCGAAGACCCTTACACCGTTAAAAGAAGCCAACAGTTACAACTAGAAATGAAAGCCAAAAAGCCTTACTTTTTTAGTAGTTTTTTTTCTACATTTCATTATTATTGAAAGTTAATAATTCAAACGACAATTTAAAAATTAAATTTTTTACTACTCAGTATTATCAGTAAACCTAAAAAAATGTGTTTGCATTTGAAAACAAAGTTGATAGTTTTATTCCGTATAATGGGTTAAAATAAAAATTTTCTAAGTAATGACAAATATACTATAATAATATGTACCTACAAGTAAAAGAACATTTCTTTTTCAAATGATTAATATTTTTCCAGAAAATTAGTGTCTTACAACACCCTGTGTACAAAAATAATAGATGCTTACTTTGGATTTAATTTTGTAAATATTACAGACATTTATTTAGATGCTCACGACAGGGGCGTATTTATGGGGGTGGCTGAGGGGACTCCATTTTATTATTAATTGTAATTTTTTTCTGTTAATAATTTGGAAACTGTAGCATTACTACGGAATCTATTTGTGCACACACATGGTCGTAGCTCACGGGACTGGCAGAAGTGACTTAGATCGTCCAGTATGGACTATGGTTTTTGGTATCGGATTGCCTGCCGGTCCAACCACTGAACCTAAAACAAAAACATATTATTGTTGTATAATAAATCTTTATCGAAAACAATGTGTAATATATTTTTTTGTAAAGAAATGAATAAACCACTTTATGGAAAAATGATGTTACAATAATACCCACATATTGAAAGTAAAATATTTATTTTTAATAATTACATTTTTTTTCTTCTAAAAACATAAAACGGGTTTGAGAAAACCATAAATGGAATAATATTACAATAAAACAATGTTTTTCATAACAAATTATTCGCACATAAAAACCATTTTTTGTAATATGTTTTATTATAATGACACAACTAATTGAAACGTTACAATTATTTTACATTATTATTAACGAAGTCAAAATGTTTTGGTCGATTCAAATGCTTTATAAAGAAAACAAAAAAAAAATAGCTTTATCCTCTTAACAACAACTGAGTTCATGTAGAGTAGATTGAAAGGTTCTCATATGATAAATGAAAAAAAAGTGACTAGTGAGGTAATGAAAATAAAAAAAAATCCCATTTTTATAAAATTATTTATGTTGCAACTTGCAAAAAATTCAACTGAGTAAGGACTACTTCACAAAAGAAATATGCGCTTATTGTGTATGTGTATATTAAATATTTTGTAATAGATAAACTATTTCATAATTTACCTGCAAGGATGGATGTTGCATAAAGTATCAAAAATAATGTAATATTGAAAAAATTCATTTTTCTGCTTTTCTAAAAAAAAAAAAAATCCAGTTTGACAAATTGTGTAACATAATAAGTAAATGCAATTTTCCTGAATTCGGGTTTTTCTATTTTAAGTATTACACTTTTTTTAAATATTGTTAAAATATATTTAGAAGTAGTATTCATTTTTGTAAACGATTTTTTTTTATACTATTATAAAATATTAGAAACGCGAAATCACAGAAGAGATTATGTGGAATTCAAAACTATTTTAGAGTTCAAATTGGAAAAAATTGGGAGCTTGGATTGATGAAAATGCCAAGGGTCTATTTACGCCTAATTTTACCACAGTCGCGAGGCCCCTAAATTTTACCTTTTTCTTTGTTAGACTTTGGGCTTCCAATATTGGGTAAAAAAAACTATTTATTTTATTACATTTACAAAAAAAAATAGTCGTTTTAATAAGTACGTTGTTTTAAAATGATGACTGGCCAATTATAACGTATGGGGCTCGTGAAAGTGTATCGTTTAAGTGTATTTTGTAATAAATGTACTTTGTACGACATTAAATAGAATATTGTTTTTTTTTTTTATAATAATGATTTATTTGGAAAAAAACATCTTAGTTAGCCTAAATAATATGTGCACAAGATAATAAAAATAAAACTGAAAACCGATTATCAAAAAAGCGACAAATAAATTAAACGTATATAGATTTTACTACTTGATTCACTTACCTTTTATAAATGTATTGTTAAAGATGAGTGTCGTATTCAGTTTGAATTTTTGAAACCAATTATGAATTTCCTCTATCGTGTGTTTGTATATTTATACTCATTAAAAGTCTGTGAATTTATGTAAATAAATTATTAGTTATCAAACACTTGTTTAAATCGCATACTATATCATTTTTGTTAACACGGGGGCGTCAATCTACGTCATTGTGTCATTTCGATAAATCAAAATTATTTTTAAATTATTTTTGAAATAGCTATAGATTTTTGTATTTTAATATAAAACATTTTATTGGACCCATACGATTAAATAACATGATACCAATTCTAATAATCTTGTTAATCATACTCAATTAATAATTAATGCAAAAAGCACTTGGAGTTGAGTAAATCTAGAACTGAATTTTTGGAAATTTCTTACTTGAATAATAACTACTTTTCAGATAAAGTCGAATTCTATAATATGTAATATTTTATAAAATTGTACTATTGAATACATTTTTTTTTTTTAACAGCAATTACATAAAATGAAAGTTACTTGAATAATTTATTATATGAATAACATTTTATTTGAAATATTACGCACAAACTTTTCCATAAAAAAAACACTTCTAACGGAATACGGGATTATAAAGGGAAAATTTGCTAGAAAATAAACTAGTATTAAATGTTAAATTGGTATTCAACATCCTTGCTCGAAAAAACCTCATTATATGGCACCTTTAAAATTGTTATTGAAATAGCACCTATGGTTATAAACACAGTAAAAATTATTCTACCAAGTTCTATAAAAATGTCAATGCTATAACAATTGCATGACTTCTTAGACTGGTTACGCCTCTGCTTCTTTTATGCTCCTAGTAACGGGAGCTATATCGATCAAATGAAAATGTTAATGAACAGTATAGGTTCAGTCATTGCAGGAATACAAACAGACAATGGACGGTTTGCCGTTTATACCGGGATTTCGTTTCAACGACATCACTGTAAGTATTTATGCGATTATAATAAATTATTTAATAAAATGCTTTACGGTTAATATTATATAAAAACAGAATCATCCAAACATTTCCATGACTACATGTAGATAATCTAAATATTGTTTAATATTCAGTAAAATAGGAATAGTATTACCGCATGTAAAACATTTTGTAGCTACCTTGAATATTATATAAATTATAATTTGAAAATATTCTATAAAGTTTTCCATTTTTTAAAATATGCCCAATAGAACTTTATTCTGTGTCGACTCAAATATCTTACAAATAATTTCATACAACTTTCGCCACTTCTGAAATATGTTTATACCTAACACGTTTAATGTCATGTTTAAAATAGTTGCAATCGATTTATTGTTACTTATATATAATATAATTAACAAGATTACTTTTGTTTCATGTATATATAATTACAAATACATAAAGCAACTTAAACTTTAACTTGTGTTATTACTATATGTTTTTATTAGAAAAGAAATTATCACTTAAGCGCCCAATTCAAGTGGAAAAACGGATATGCCATTCCTAAAGAAAAATGCATTGGCATCGGCAGAGGTTTACTCGATGTAGATTCTGTTCAACATACGAGGACATTGGGATCCACCGGGTCCATAATTTAAAATAAAAATAATTCTAATTTATTGGCAAAGCGATAGCTTTTTAATATATGGTTTTTTTTTATAATTCTAGAATCATTCAATATGTAATATCACTTTGAAATTTGAATTTTATGCATTCACAATCTTATTTTCTAAATGTATATAAAACATATTTGATATTATTTTTAGCTATGACCCTACACTGACTTACGGTCAAGTAAAGCAACCGCCGAAACCTACTTTTCAATCCCATTTCGTCTTGTACGATGGCAAATGTCTGTCGTTCAATGGTTACACAAAACAATCAAACCCCGAATCGCCATTGGACAGTTACAGAGTGCGTCGTGTAAAAATCACTTATTATTTAGTAGACGACACTATATCCGTCGTTGAACCCGTCGTAGAGGTAACACATTTTTTTTATCTTATCAAATAATCGACAAAGGTTAATTAGAATTTATTAGGCCCTATGCCATAAGTTATAATATTAATGCATTTTTCTTTTTTAGAACGCAGGTTATCCGCAAGGGTGTCTGTTGAAACGCGGTTCAATACCAAAACCAAGCCGGAAGAACAAGACTTGGCACTGGTCGGATTTCAACAACGGTGTAGAGCTGACATTTCACGGTGTTAGTTACAGATTGTGCTCTTGCGACCAGTTCACCAAAGAGTTTTTGACCAGCCAGGGTATTGTAATGACCCCGGACGAACCCGTGCCCGAAGACCCTTACACCGTTAAAAGAAGCCAACAGTTACAACAAGAAATGAAAGCCAAAGAGGCTGCGATGGCGACAAAGTTGACCGAATTTGCAAGTGACCAAGTCGAACACGGCAAGTTCAAACGGTTTTTGGAATACGACGGCAAAGTACTCAGGTGAGTAGGGTTCGAAGTACTGGGCCCAACCCAATAGAACCCAGTGGATTTTTATGAGTTGGGCCTAGTAATAAAACCCAATAAACAAAAAAATATGTGTTTGCATTTGAAAAACAAAGTTGATAGTTTTATTCCGTATAACGGGTGAATATAAACATTTTCTAAGTAATGATAAATATAGTATAATAATATGTGCCTGCAAGTATAAAAACAAGTATTTTTTTTAATTATTAATATTTTTCGAGAAAATGAGTGTCTTACAACACACTGTGTACAAAAATAATAGATGCATGCTTTGGATTTAATTTTGTAAATAGTGCAGACATTTATTTAGATGCTCACGACAGGGGCATATTTATGAGAGGGATGGCTAAGGGGGCTCCAGCCCCCCCCCCCCCCCCCGAAATTTTGTTAGTCTGCCTATGAGCCTATATGTTGTACATTTTAGAAGTCTAATATTGACTTTACAAAAAAAATTCAATTTTAATAAACAAATTACTTAACTTGTGAAATAAAAGTTACTTTAAACGTTTAAATCGCTCTATATCTCCAGCCTTCCACTTTATCAGTTATCACTTATCCCTAACGTTTTCTTACTAAAGGACAATCTGCTACTTTGACAAAAATGTGATCCGTAATAGTTATGGTGTTTTTAACAGATTTTTTTCGACTATATGGATCTAGATATTTTATTAGTGTAAAAATGTTTATTTATATATTAATATTTGACATTTGTATAAACGAAAATTAGTTTCATTTTAAATCATTTATTGTGTGATAGTTTTACAGAAATTAATATTAAATTTTTACTATCAATTGTAATTTTTTTCTGTTAATAATTTGGAAACTGTAGCATTACTACGGGTTTTATTTGTGCACACACATGGTCGTAGCTCACGCGGCTGGCTTAATTGCCCCAGATCGTCTAGAATTGATCACGGATTTTTTAACTGGATCGGCTGCCGGTCTATGCAGTGTACCTAAATTAAAAACATATTATTATTGTATAATAATTCTTTATCGAAAACAATGTGTAATATATATTTTTGTAAAGAAATTAATAAACCACTTTATGGAAAAATGATGTTACAATAATACCCACATATTGAAAGTAAAATATTTATTTTTAATAATTACATTTTTTTTCTTCTAAAAACATAAAACGGGTTTGACAAAACCATAAATGAAATAATATTACAATAAAACAATGTTTTTCATAACAAATTATTTGCACATAAAAACCATTTTTTGTAATATGTTTTATTATAATGACACAACTAATTGAAACGTTACAATTATTTTACATTATTATTAACGAAGTCAAAATGTTTTGGTCGATTCAAATGCTTTATAAAGAAAACAAAAAAAAATAGCTTTATCCTCTTAACAACAACTGAGTACATGTAGAGTAGATGGAAAGGTTCTCATATGATAAATGAAAAAAAAGTGACTAGTGAGGTAATGAAAATAAAAAAAAATCCCATTTTTATAAAATAATTTATGTTGCAACTTGCAAAAAATTCAACTGAGTAAGGACTACTTCACAAAAGAAATATGCGCTTATTGTGTATGTGTATATTAAATATTTTGTAATAAATAAACTATTTCATAACTTACCTGCAAGGATGGATGTTGCATAAAGTATCAAAAATAATGTAATATTGAAAAAATTCATTTTTCTGCTTTTCTAAAAAAAAAAAAAATCCAGTTTGACAAATTGTGTAACATAATAAGTAAATGCAATTTTCCTGAATTCGGGTTTTTCTATTTTAAGTATTACACTTTTTTTAAATATTGTTAAAATATATTTAGAAGTAGTATTCATTTTTGTAAACGATTTTTTTTTTATACTATTATAAAATATTAGAAACGCGAAATCACAGAAGAGATTATGTGGAATTCAAAACTATTTTAGAGTTCAAATTGGAAAAAATTGGGAGCTTGGATTGATGAAAATGCCAAGGGTCTATTTACGCCTAATTTAACCACAGTCGCGAGGCCCCTAAATTTTACCTTTTTCTTTGTTAGACTTTGGGCTTCCAATATTGGGTAAAAAAAACTATTTATTTTATTACATTTACAAAAAAAAAAATAGTCGTTTTAATAAGTACGTTGTTTTAAAATGATGACTGGCCAATTATAACGTATGGGGCTCGTAAAAGTTAATCGTTCAAGTGTATTTTGTAATAAATGTACTTTGTACGACATTAAATAGAATATTGTTTCTTTTTTTTATAATAATGATTTATTCGGAAAAAAAACATCTTAGTTAGCCTAAATAATATGAGCACAAGGTAATAAAAATTAAACTGAAAACTGATTATCAAAAAAGCGACAAATAAATTAAACGTATATAGATTTTACTACTTGATTCACTTACCTTTTATAAATGTATTGTTAAAGATGAGTGTCGTATTCAGTTTGAATTTTTGAAACCAATTATGAATTTCCTCTATTGTGTGTTTGTATATTTATACTCATTAAAAGTCTTTGTGAATTTATGTAAATCAATTATTAGTTATCAAACACTTGTTTTAATCGCATAGTATATCATTTTTGTTAACACAGGGGCGTCAATGTACGTTATTGTCATTTCGATAAATCAAAATTATTTTTAAATAGCTGTAGATTTTTATATTTTATTATAAAACAATTATTGGACCCTGCGATTATAAAACATGATACGAATTCTAATAAAATCAAATATCCTAATGGAAAATATAGTGTATATTGACATTGTTTAATAATATTGTGAATTGTTAACTCCCAACTACTGTTTAAAGCCTTAGTTAGAACATTTTCCCCAGCATTTATTGAGATACCGAACATTAGGCAAATAAATTAACATTATTACATTTATATGACTAATGTACCTACCTATTCAAACAATACAATTTTTTTGGCAAATATTGTTTATACTTTTCTCTTTAAATTACGTTTTAATGATTTTGTTTTTTACTTTTCAAATGACAACACACAACACATAAATAAAAATGTCAGTCAAATTGTTTACTCAACGTTTCTAAAGCGTTTTGAAAATGTGTTTTTTAAACAATTATAAAAAAAAGTTTAATGCACTCAATATTTCATATAAAAAAAAATAACGCTCAAAGTATAATCGTTTGGCTTAAAAGGTGAATTTGTTGGTATTTTGATCACATTGCATAATAAAACTACATTTAAATGCCAAAAAGACTTCCTTAGAAAAGAAAAAGTTTATCTACAGATTTTTCAAAAATTGTAAATACATCAATTTTACTAGATTTACCTTAAGTAATAATTAACAAAATAAGTCCAAAAACTAAAGAACCTGTGTTTGTGCAAGGGTTCGTTTTTTTTACCAAAAAGCTTGACCAAATTTCAACTAGGTACTTAAAATGGCCCGATTTCGATTCTGTAATAAGATAAGACTTCATTGGCTACTCTACTAAATTATGTCGGAAACGATTTTTTGCTTTTTTTATGTAAAAATAGAGTTAATTAATATTTAAACATTTTCATATTTCATTTATTTAATTACAAGAAACTGGTTTTTTATTTAAAAGAAAATCGGTTTTCTACATAACCTAGTAAATAAATAGTCGAACAACTCGAATCTTTTTACAAAATTAAAATCTGATAGATCTAAGTAGGTAGGCGTAATTTCTAAAAGGCTTTTAGGTTTAAAATAAACCAAATTGGCTTATGCTCGTAGGAAAAAATACATTAACTAAAAATAACACCTTGAAGCTTATACAAATTAACCGGAAAATTAAACGATATGGTCGAAAATCATTAAAACCATTTTTTTTTATCTCCTATGCAAAACTCCTTAAAAACAGACTGAATACAATCCCCTTATTACAATAATTATTATTAGTCAACGTTAATAGTTTCTGACTTCTGTGAATAGATTTTATGCGGCCTGGGACGACAACGGATCCGAACCAGCGGAAAGGAAGTTTTTCGTTTTTATGTACTTCTTAGCTAACGACCAAGTGAAGATCTACGAATCAAATAACAAGTGCAACGATTCGTTTCCGCTGTTTTTGGGCGAAACTAAACTGCGAAAAAATTGGAAAAGTTTTTCTTGTGAGTTCATGGATAATTCAATATATAATTTATATTACTTACCAAATTAACCAATTACTTAAGCTTTTCGGATTTAAAGAGTGTACATAATTTTAGTAATATTAAACAATACAGTTGTAAAGATGTACAAACGGTTTATTTCGTTTTACTTTTCAGCCGATTTACTCGATTATTATCAACCGAAAGATTTCATAATTGGCAGCTATATTTCCGTGATGGGACGAAGGTAGGTAAACTCGGTAGTCAAAATAATTATCTTAAAAAAAAAATTAGAGCCACATCCCATGTCCAAACGGTAATATTGTGTGTAATTTTTATTTTTTTACAAATACATTTGTTTAATTTATAGATTTATGCTCTACGATTGCGATCCGTTCACTCGAGATTATTACAATCATAAGTTGGGCATCGTTCAACCTGATCCCATTCGAGTGGTGGAGCCCAAAGACAACCATTTGACTCATGAGGAAAAAGTTAGCAGCATTATTAAATTATTCAATTACAACAAAGTACAATATGTTATTTTGTTTATAAGTAATATGATTAACATTTTTTTGTTTTTTGGCATTAACATTTCCATAGGCGATACCGCCTTACACGGGCATTGGAGACCCAGACGACACGATGCAAAACTGCTTGTCGCTTACACCGAAACCGCCAAAGAAAGTAGACTTTGTCAGATATGTGTTGAACGCCGGCAAGAAGTTGCGATATAAACTCAAGATGTCATCAGTCCGCGAGGAAGACCGTCACAGAGATTTCATCATGACATTCTGTCTCGGTAACAGTCAAATGGCCATTCAAGAAATGGGCAACAAAAACAGCGGGTTCATCAGAGGGAAATTTATGGCCGGTGTACAGCTCCGCAAACCTCATGTGAACGTAGACGACAATCAGCAGTATTACGGACCAAATGATTTTGCTATCGGTTAGTTACATATGACTATAATAGTGTTATGTACATGAATAAAATATTTTTTATTAACATACGCCTCTGTTGTAACTTTGTTTTTCTTTGTAACACTACATAAGGAGCTGAAATAAACGTTAGAGGATTTACGTTCATTATCGCCGGCTTGGATTTGTGGACATACAACTACATGAAAGACAACAGCTACATGTTCAACCCAGAAGTCATACATGGTGCTAAAGAGTATTTAGAACGAGAAGGCATATTGAAAGAACAAATGATGATTACAGGAACCAACGATAAACCCCGAGATGTTTTTTGTTGACAAACAATTTAGTAGATTAATAAATAACATGATAACAAATTAGAATGTAAATAATTTGTTTTATTTAAAATTTAACAAAATTAAAAAAATAGAGTGTAAATACACGTGGACTACAAAAATCAAATTAATTAATTAATAAAGGGTTCATCACAGATGTTAGTAAAATTAGTAAATCGTTTATAGCTTAACATAATTAAAAATCTTACTATAAGAGTTAACGGAAATTAGTTTTTTGGAATTACTCTTGGAATGGGTACGTTCAGCAGACCACAAAATTTATTTCGTACTGCCCTCACTTTATCAACGCTGGATTCTTGCCAATCGAATTCTTCAAGTAGTTCGGTGGCTTCATTGACATTCTCATCTGGTACTCCGAATATATCGGAATAGACAATTAGAACTTCCACAAGCCGAGCTGCCACAACTTTACGCAACCAAGCGAATCGATGAGCCAAAAATATAGACAACTGGGTCATTGAACGCATTCCAACTTGTCCAGGAACCTGTGCAAAGAAGCTAACGTGTACATTCTGAAAATTAAAAGTTAAATGCCAGCTATACCTGTACTAAATGGCAAAGTAGTTCAACACACGATGTAAGTTTGCTCGATCCTTTAGTAGAAACAGCTTCTTTTTTTATGAGTGTCAAAACATTAGCAGCAAACTCTGATTCGTCTCGTTCAAACTGATTTTTAAAAGCGCCCGCAGTAGCCAACCTCTCAATAGACATCAACACACATTGATGAATACGTTCATCTGCATCGACTTCGGCAACTTTACCACTCCAAACGGCTATTATATCATTGCATAACATTTCAAATTCATCGTCCGGAACGAATTTCATGTGTTCAGTGAAATGATGACAGGCTTCTTTCACCTAATGAAAACAAATTTATATATTAACTAGAAATTTATCAACATTTGCTGAATCGTGTAATACATACAAGGCTTTCAGAAACACCACCAATACAGACTAATAGTCCAACCAGTACGGAGTACTTATATTCGGGCATGCTAAGAAATTTCACCATAACAGAAAACGAGTCCGATTCGGTGAACCAATTGAACGAATCTTTTTTTTTAAACAATTTTTCCAATTCTTCTCGATGGGCAACATTGGGTACGACATTTTTTTTCCTTCTACGATACATTTGTTTTTTTTTTTTTATAACAGATATTTATTAACGAAAACAGTTATTATTAATCACACCAACCTGTGCAATAGATTTGTTATGACCATACAAGATAGACCTCTAATTTTGTCGATGCGGTCAACACCTTGTCTCACTAAGACGCACATAATTTGTCTGACAATATTCTTGTCGAGCAATTCGGGATGAATATCTGTCAAATTTGAAACTATAACCTGATGCAAACATAAATATTAATATATTACATGTAGTTCACTATTTAGTTTTATTCACACAAAAACATACTTCTAAGCTATTTATGGCAGCCTCTCTAACCCATACTCCAATATCTCCTCTGTGGTCCATTGTGTATTCTAACGCACAGCTCAATAAACAATGTAAAATTAAGTTAGAATGTTCAACACAATTGTCAACATAACCTGAATAGTAGAAAAATACAAATTATGTATAAACATTATTGTTTAACGTTTACAAAGGAAAATATTTAATCATCTAAACATACAAGGTGTTGAGCTTAATTCAGTCCAAATCTTTGTAATGGCCATCACAGCGTCTCGCCTGGACTCGGCCCACTTTATTGTTGGTCGTGTAATTTTCGCACAGTCTATAAGACCATTCAAAATGAGTAAAATGTGTTTGTTCAATATAGAAGACGGAAGCGATCCTAGTGCTAAGCTGTAACCAATGCGCTCCATCATATGATTTGAGGATAATTTATTCACATAAGTGTTTATTATACTATCAGTCTCGGGTGAAGTAGGGTCATAATAGTTGCTAAATAAAGGACCGATGGCTTGTACAGCTTTGTTTCGTAAATCTAACATTTCGTTTGATATACAATCTTCCAGCAAAATTCTCCATTCGTCTGGAAATTATATTTAAAAAAAAACAATTATTATTCAATAACTATAACATTGAATAGTGTTTTAAAGGATTACATTAATACCGTCAAAGATTACATACCTATAATTTTTTTATCATCGACTATAATTTTACTGATGGATATGAGTTTGATCAGGTGACAACAAGCCATTTTTACTAATTCACTGCTAATGCCTTTTAATTTCCCATGATTTTTTAAATTGAGTACAAGGTTTATTATTTTTTCTAATAATTCTTTGTTTAATTCTACATTAGGATCAAGAGTCTTTGATATTCCATCCAATACTTCACCAACCGCCATAACACTTCCATGTCGTTTATTAATATTGGATGTTTCGGTTAGTTTTAATAGTTCTGAGAAAACGTAATCTTTAGCTTTTGTTGGCTTTAATGTAACCAACCTGCCTAATGCCTAAAAATAGATTTGTTAAAATTATTATTATTATTATTATTACCTAATTTATATCATGAAATAAAATAAATAATTACCATAGCAGCTAATTCTCGAATTGAAGTATCCCAATGAACAATTTTTTTTTCCAGAAGGTGTTTTATCAGTAGTTCATCGTACTCTTTGTACTGAGCAATGTAGACACTTATTTCTAAATAAGCATGATTTCTCATACCGACTGCAAAATAATCGGCCGCAGTAACAATATCAATTCCATGAGGAAAAGTACCTTGACGACCCACGTTTTCTTGGAATGCTGCTGAAGCAGCTCTGCGACAAGTTAACTACAAAAAATAAAAACCATTTATTTAGAAATTGTTATTTTTTTTTTTTTCATTTTCCCCTTTCAAATTACTTCTCTGTCAAAACAAGCTACTGCTAAAAGTGCTCCAGCAATTTCTTCAACGTAAGGTTGAATGTCACTTGTGCTAAACGCTCTTGCAAATGACCAGCACACATAGCATGCAGCGTCACGGATATGAGATCCAACAGAAGTATATCCTTTCGGCTCATCATATACTAAGGCTTTCAAAATAGCAGGGACGACATGAGATAAGTTTTCACTGATCAACAACCCACGGCGACCTTTAATAAGAAAAAAAAACAAGTTTTGTAATTTCATTTTTTTCCAAAACTACGAAAGTCTTATATAGTTTTTACAAACCTAATTCAGCAAGAGCCAAACATCCTCCGTGCCATGCGTTATCGTTTTCGTCAGGACTCAGCATGCTTAAAACGGCATTAACCACTTCATTTCCGTACGTTTTTGATAGACGACCAGTTATACGTCCAATTCCTTTAGCTGCAGAGTACCTATAGGGTATTGTACAATCAAGTCATTGAGTAATTTATTCATATAAAATAAATCAACATAAACTCTTAAAATACCTAACAATAATATCGGTGTCTTTTAGTCCTTCAATCAATTCTTGAATAATGTCTTCTAGAACTGCAGGAATATCATCATAGTCATCCTCAACGTCATCTAAATTTTGTTTGATAATTACTTCAGATGATTTTGATTCTGCATTTAATAAGTTTTGCTCCAACGATCTAGTTCCTCGATCATAACGCCAAGCAGCAATTCTGACTTTCAATAATGTTAGTCCTTAGAAAGAAAGAGAAAAATCTATAGGTATTTTTTATGCACAAGAAAATAATAAGTAATAACATAACTAAATGCAATCAAACACACCTGCTCTTTGTACGATTTTCATATAATATTTTCTAGTCAATCTTAAGTTGTCAGATTTACATTTTGACTGTTTTAAACATTCAAAAATATCTTCGACATAATGTTGGGCATCCTCACGCCTAGCCGCCTTAAAGATAGCTGCAATGGTACTCATGGCACCTAATCTCTCCCAACGGGTTGCATTTTGATCAGTTATTTTCTGCAATCAAATTTTTGAAAACTTCATAATAAAATTGTAATAATTATGACATATTATACTGAATTCCTACTTGTTTGGCCCATTTCAAGAAATCAGGTAAATGGGTTTCTTTAACATCAGATCTTATAAATAATCGAGTAGCAAGAACAGTAGCGGTATCCCTACACGCGTCACCAGAACATAAGTACTTCATTATAATATCAACCAATCTACAATGAATAAAATGACACATCACACATTGAACAAATGAATAAATGTTGATGTTGTAGTATTATTAAAACCTTTGCAGTGTAGTTTTATTTTCTGGGTGTAATGTACCATCCAGCTTCCTCATATCGAAAGGTATTATAACGATAATAGAAAGCCATAACAATAAACAATAACGAGTTTCCCAAGAATTGTAATCGGATTCGTCTTGTTCTTCTAACATTTTCAATACTTTTTCTAAATCGGATACCTACATAGAAACAAATGTTAAATTAGTATTTTATTCAAATACATTACAATTTAAAATGTATACATACTTCATGAGGTAAGTTTCGTAAAATAACTTTGTATCCTCTCACACTGACAACCAGAAAGAGATATTGGAATGTCTTATGTTTAAGTAGAGTAGGTTTTGAATCATCTCTTACGATGGCCAAAATTTTGTCAAGTATTTCACACAAATAAGGATCAATCAAATGTGGTTGTTCTATATACTGTGTAAGAATGTACTTAAGCGTCTCGTAAGCTTTTTCACTTTGACTTTCATTTGAATAAATTTCTGGGAGTTGGTCAATCAGTCCAAGAACTTGTTTCCATTCTGAGAATAGTACTAAACAACAGCCTAGTCCTACGCCTTCACTAGTATCTTCTAGCGAATCTGACACACTGTCACATGGCATAACCATTCTGGAAAATTGTGTTCGTAAATCTGAAATAAGTTATGGCATATTTATAATCCAAACAAACAATTATAAGTATGAATAAAGATTAAAAATTCACTTTCATCTTTTTCTACCATTAAAAAACTACTATTTTAAACATATTTTATCTAGCGTCTGAATAGCTAATCAATTACAATGTTCTTTATACAATACTTAGTAATGATTTTATTAACCTTTTATTTTGTTAATATTAATATTATTTATTAAGTGTTCATTCTATAATTATTAGGTATAGATTATTTAAAATTTTAGTGAAGATACTACACATGTGTTGCAAAAGTGACATAAGTCAACAAATTTGTGTTTTTGAGCTATCACCATGGTGATGATCAGGCAAGCAATCCTTTGATCAAAATCTTATTTTGAAATTGTTTTATACTTTTTGACTCGAGTTACTCTTGAAAGATATGTGAAAAATAATATAAAAAAGCTAATCATTAAGTTGCAAATATAAATTTAATTATAATATACTACACTGACATTATTATTAATTAACACATTGGAGACGACTGCCGTGTTTAACGCGGTCTTTATTATTAACTATAGGAGACGGAAATATTATTATCAGGCAACAATGTTGAGCACAAATTATGTGTTTAGCGCTGCATGTAACAATGATATAAAAATATTATCGTGTCCAGTATATAAAAATACTGACCGCGTAGACACAGCACCCGTCCTCAATTTAGCAATGTCATAAAATTAGTTTAATCTCCAATGTGTTAATAGTAAATTATTATCTTCTCATTTAAACATTTTCAATAGATAATAACATATATTTTTGGGTTTTTTTATTACCAAATAGTTTAATTTGTTTACATTCAAATTATTTAAACTTTTAATCAGATTTACCTAGGTGGTAAATCTTTGGTACAAACTTCAAATATCAACATCAGTTATTAAAAGTATACAGCAGATTTGTTGGGTATGCTTAAATTACTATGTTAATCAAATAAAAATTTACATCTAACAATAAAACAGTAGTTAGTAATTAATTAAAATAAGTATAGTTTAACATTTTTTACCTTATAAACTTAATAACAAATTATTTCTCATTCGATTAGTTCATTCATTACAAATCGACTTAGTAAAAGAGTAATTTCTCGAAGAATCGAAAAGAAAATATATTAGTATAAGTATTACAAAAATATTATATAAATTTAACAGAACAAAAAAAACCATAGAGGAATTATTCAGAATTCATCAATGAACATGTTGTAAACAATCCATGGCCCACGCTTTTTACCTTATCACTACATAAAAATCGATATCACAATTCACAGAATATATCATTATCACTTTAAATGATAACATAAATTCAGGACTCCAGCTGTTTATTGATAGGACTCCTGTCTATTGATCCGGCTAAAGAACAGGTTAATTTAAATTTGTATTTATCCAGTATGAATATACAGATAATATATTATACTGTATATATATTTATGTACGGTTAATTTTAAATTATAGACATTTTATATACTATACTATGTGTTAAATGAGTGTCTTGGACCACATAACTACACAAACTATTATTTTGTGTATCATAATTATTGTATAATATATTTGGCTTCCTCTCAATTGGCCGATTCCAATGAACGGCTATTATTTTTTTCGTCCTTATAGGGGTTTATATTTTACTTCCCCTTTATAAAATCGAGTAAAACAGTAAATAGTGGTATTATCTTGAAACCACCTTTTTAGTATTTTTTTAGTCTGATGTTGTTGCGCCTTATTGATACTACCATCAAAATACTTTGAAAAAACTAAAAGAAAATTAAATGTGTGACTCAAAGGATTAAATTTAAAAATTAGTCCGAATTAGTTCCAAATTTGATAACGTTCAACTAAGAGTAGTCTGTCGAAATATTAAGTTCTGCTGCTCATGGCCGAATCCAGCACTCATTTTTGGGGAGGGTTTTATTTTAAGATAAAACTAGTAAATAATATTTAGGATTTTAATTAAATAGAACCATATCAGTTTTTAGGTATATATATATACCGCGTGGTCGAAAAATCTCAGGTGTATGAATGTATCTTAACGGGCCAATTTCTATCTCGGTTATCAACTCACTATTACGTTTTTTAGGTGCAGTTTTATTCGTTGGAATCTCTACTTTACAATGGTATATTTGGATTTTTGTTGTGACTATTTTAGCAGGTTGAAATAATAGATCTTTCCAGTAAACGATTACGGTGTCCTGTCGTTGTCGCCGACGCTGGTAATGACTATTATTTTTGTGTTTATACATATATATATATATATATAATAATTCGTTATTGTGGGTACAGATCCAAAAATGTAATGCAGTTTGAGTACACTATAAATTCTATTTGTATGTATATATATATAAATATATATAATATATAATATTTTTATTATCGACACGACTCGTGCTTTTATTCATGTACAGAGTTGAAACTTGAATCGATTCTATATATGAATGTAAACATTTAATTATTACCCAGTCATTATTGACTATATTTAAATATTGACAATATTTAAAAATATTTCCAAACCATTTTCATTAATATTTAGGTAATTAAGTTTTACATCTTTCATTTGATCAAGTTTGTTTTGATCAAGATTATTTTTATAATAAATAATTGTTTGAATAAAACGCATGTGCATACTGGACTAGCTACTATATACAGTATATTACACCCTTCTATCAACCACAATTACTCTGTCAAATAATTCAATCTATGCTAAATTAATATTAATAATGTAAAGCTAATTTTGTGTTCAAAGAGATCCTTTATTATATATAATATAATATAATATAATATAGGATCTCCTTGAACACAAAATTTGCAAACCTTTGCTGACTCTATGTGAGTTTTTAACTGCTGAAAACAATTCGTTTCTATGTTAACTTCTGCTTGTTGTTTGAATAACAAGACGTAGCAATTGTATATTAAAAGTCAATACTTAGATTTTAATATTTTCAGCGAACAATATGCATTGTGTCGAAGCGTTCTGCAGATATATTTTACGTTAAAACAATTACTTTTTCGAACGACTTAAATATTACTGTCATGTTCTACCATAAGTTTGGACGTAACTTCAAGCTATTTCCAAAAAAATCCGAAGGCGACCAAAAACTCAAAAGGGGTTTCGCCTGGAGACTTGATGGTAGGTATTTCGAACACATACAGTTATTATATTATGTAACATAATACAGCAATATGTTCTTCTCTCTCATTGTTATTTATAATAACTGTTTCAAAAAAAAAAAACTTTTATAAGAACACTTGGAATTTTAAAAGTTGGTGAATTAATTTAAGCATTTGAGAGTCTAACAGGGCGATTTCACATTTGGGCTTCAGAGTAGGTAATGCAAAAACCCAGCATGCTGTGTTGAAATCTCTTAACATATAATAATTTAGATACCAAATATAAAGTCCAAATCCAATTATTACTAAATACTATTTTTACTAATATTATGTTTAACTTTTTTTTTTAGATTCAAGTGCAATTATTTACACGTGGCGGTCAATCATAAATTTCCTAATAAGTATAAATAATACGAAGTAACCCATAAGCAAAACATGTAGTCATTTATTTTAAATATTAATAATAATTTAATTGTATACAGCTGTAAGGGTCCGGAATTAACTATAGACGAAATAATTGTACCAAGTTTCTCTGCTCAGTAAAATTCTTACATATTAAACTCAAAATAAAATAATTGAAAAAACATTTTTTTATATGTCTGGTTTGTTAGTTCTAGACCTTTTTCTAGTGCTTGGTTTAGTATAAGTAATGTATTCCTCAAACGAATTTATAAAAAGTGAGTGTAATTATTGGAAATATTTTTTTCAACTAAATCAATACATTTTTGAGTAATTTATTCTGGTCTCACTTGGAAGTAAAATAAAGATACCTAGTAGGAACCTACGCTAAAATATCTAAACAATTGAGTTACCTCCCCTCCCCTCTACTAAGTCAAGTACTATGTGGATTAGGTCTATGTACGATGATGCCATTTTACTCTTAATTCTCCCTTTATAAATTATTTTGGACAACCGCACAATTATAATTTATTTATTTAAGTAAATTTACACATTTTAGCACTATTGTCATTTCAGATAATTGAACTAAACTACTTTAACAATTTTTTCGTTTGTAACTTCTCACTTTCGCGTTGTGGTCGTTCTCGTTATAGTTCATAAACCTCTCACATTTTCTGCTTAGTAAAAATTAATTACTTACTCAAAAAATTTCCGTCCAGTTAATCAAGTCACAACATTTTGTAAACCAACAAGATTTTTTTGTAAATCAAATTACCAATATCTATCCCGTGATCCTACTGGATAACATCCTTCGTACTCTCTTATACGCAAAGTCTGTCGAAACCGGGATATTTTAGTCATTAAGTTAGTCTTAAGTTATGCCCGGATCGGCTTCGATGCGTAAGTCCACCATTGTCTGTTGCGTGGCCGCTCAGTCTGTCGATACCGGGATATTTTAGTCATTAAGTTAGTCTTAAGTTAGTCATTAAGTTAGTCCTAAGTTATGCCCGGATCGGCTTCGATGCGTAAGTCCACCATTGTCTGTTGTGTGGCCGCTCAGTCTGTCGATACCGGGATATTTTAGTCATTAAGTTAGTCTTAAGTTATGCCCGGATCGACATCTATGCGTAAGTTCACAATTGCTTGAAACGCCCCTACCACACATTTCTGGTGGTTGTACAGTAAATACAATTTGAGCATCATCGTAGATGGAGATACCACATAAAAAAAACGAGCCAAATACTCTACCTCATAGGTGGTTTGGAAACGAGTATACAATCCCTAATACGAAGTAACCGGTAAGCAAAACATGTAGTAATTTATTTTAAATATTAATAATAATTTAATTATACACAGCTGTAAGGGTCCGGAATTAACTACAGACGAAATAATTGTACTAAGTTTCTCTGCTCAGTAAAATTCTTACTATTCAAATTCAAAATAAAATAATTGAAAAAAACATTTTTTTATATGTCTGGTTTGTTAATTCTAGACCTTTTTCTAGTGCTTGATTTGGTATTAGTAATGTATTCCTCCTTATTGACGTCTTTCAATAAGGTACACCAACGAAATTCGAAAAAAACTAAAATTCATTGGCGTGTCCATAAGCCTAAGCAGGCGATAACGATAATATCACATATTTATTTTTGTTTAATTCTATTTTAGGCTTTAATGCTAAAAGAAAAGTTACATCAAAATATTTTTCTTTTTTTTACATCATTTTCAGGAGTACTTTAAAAAATTGGAACAAAAGACATAAAGGAAAGGTAATACAAATATTTTTCGATGAAATTTCGGGGGGGGGGGGAGAGAGGTTGCTGCTGTAATAATTAGCTCATTTTATATCAATCCCTCTGCCAAAATGTTTTAATCTAATCTTAGTATAAGGTTATTTCCAGATCCGAGACAATCCGAAGATTCAATAAGCTCAACGTGACGGACAAATAAAACTAAATATTGTTTTTGCCTTTTAGTTTTTTTCTAATTGTTTTAATTGTTTTCCTTAATACTGTATTTTTTTTTTTATCGAATGACCTTATTTACACTTGTTAGAGTTAATATCCGTTAGAACTTGTTTTAATACCTGCTAATATTATTTATGGTAAATTTTTGTAATTTTGGCTTCTAAGTTTTTAATTTTATTCTGTATTTTATACTTTTATTATTCATATAATTTTTAAACTATGATATGAAGATTAAATTGAAACAAAATGAGACCAAATTGATATCAAGACTATTAAAAATTATTATTTGTATCCCTGGTATTGGAGACTTACCTTCTACAACCGTGCAGTTGTACCTACCATTATATAAACTATAGTGCTAACGCTGTATATAAATTAAGATATTGCTTTTGTAATTATTTGGTAATATTAAAGTGTATATTATGCAGTGGTGTTCCCATTGGGTATACTCCATATACGCCGTATCCTCTCAAGATTTTTTTTAAAAAACATGGGTCTACTGCATATACTCTCAAGTTTAAACTAATTTGCGAAAAAAATAGTTATTATTTTTGTAGATTCATTTCTTTATAGAAAATATAAATCAATTAAATTTATATTACAAATAAAATCTCTGTTAGAGTGAATGCAGACTAATATTTACACTGCACCGGTGCGGTAGCCACGGCCGACCATTTATGATTTTAGCTAAAAATATAATCTGATTTTTATATTATTTTGTTTTCAAACATTATCTTCCATCACCAGATGCATAACCCGTCCCCCCGTACATAAATAATATTATTTAGCACCTTAATACTTTTTTGTTAAAATTGTGCTGAGTATACCCTCAACAAATTTGATAGGAACATCACTGTTATTATGTACAAGTTAAATTAAAATAACTGATTAAAATATGTAAGAAAATGACGTACTTGTTGTTAACTATCATAAAATATAAATACAGCTTATATTTAATAGATGATTAATTTGTTTTTTGTTTGGTATTTATAAAAAAATTATTGAGATGACAATTTAACTTTAGACCATATTAGAGAGTCCATTAAACATAAAGTATCTTTTAGTATATTTATTTAAAAAATCAAATTTATTTACTATTGTCGGCAAATAACTTAACAAGTTTTAACTTTTTAACTAACTAAAATTAGCAATTAATAAATCCAATATAAAAAGAATAATATTCGACATTTTTTTTTTATAAATAAAAAAAAATTAGTGTTGCATGCATTGTATTATATTACATTAGTGTTTTTAATTTTATATAAAACTAAAATTTTAGAACATAATTAATTTTTATTATTATAAACTGAATAATAACGTCTTTGAACTCACAATTATTTCAATTAAATATAATCCTACACTGTGAAGTCTACTCAGTTGAAAACTTACAATAATTTATAATAAACTTGCATAATAAAAATTTGTACAAAATAGCGGGTCATTTCACAATATTTTACATATTATCAAGTTGTTTATCAACAGATTCGTCCAGTGAAATACCAAATGAATGATTGTCGTATGTTTGGGTGTCCATAAGTTCAACTTTGTCATTTTCTTCCACACTTTCGTGATTACTCTGTTGTTGTTCCATTATATCTTGTAGATCAAAATCTAATGAATTGCTCATCATTGATTCCGCTATAACGAAAAAAAAAAAACAGATAAACTTGTAGTATTTAGAATTTTATGATAGGAGTATTTGGGATGGGGCTCGAGATGCGCCGTTGAATAATGCGCATGGCTTAGAATGACATTACAGTCGTAGTCTCCAATTCCCTCCTGCCTACAGGATAAATAACTCAAAAATTGTCCAATGAAAACATACAGTCATTAATTTTCATTATATTATTGTTTAACACATTGGAGACTAAACTAATTTCGTGACAAACCTCATATCAATACATAACTGACAACATTATTTAAAGAATGCCTTAAAATCACCCGTCCAAGCAACAATAGTAAGGCAGGAAACGTTTCGTCCATATGAACTGAAAACAAGTGCCGCGCTAAACACTGCATTCATCCTTAACGTTGTTGCCTAATAATAATATTGCCGTCTCTAATAGTTAATAATAAAGACTGCGTTAAATACGACAGTCGTCTTCTATGTGTTAAACGAGTTAACTATAAATGCGGTGGGGTTATTATATGAATTTAAAAGTACATATATTTTAATTGATTAATACAAATTATAAATCTAGGCACAAAATTATTATGACTTACATTGCTCGTTGATATTTTGCTCAACTACCATTTTTCTTGAAGCTTCTAATAATTCCGCAGCAGTTGTTTTAAATGCATCTAGTTTTAAAGTACTAGAACCAGAGTCCTATAAAAATGTTCAAATCAAACCACTTCCTAATACAATATAAATTAACAATAATTACCAAGTTATCGACGAGTCTGTAATTCGTTTGCAAGAAATTGGAACGATCATGTGGAATTCTTAACCCACTAGCTGGTTTGATAGGAGGTAGTGGTATTTTGTTGATTTCATGACTTGCCGCCATAAGTACCTGAAATTTATGAAATGATGATTAATTTTTTTCTCGTCACAACAAGAACATACAAGTTATGTAAGACAGTATAACTTTTAAATAATAATAATTATTTACAACAAATTTACTATTTTTCTTACAAATATTTATTGTTGTTAGGCTTTAAAATGTACTATTGCTCAGGATTATTTTTTCCATTTAATTTATCATTATACAACGTTTTGATTATTTTCCATTCTCATTATACTTACATCACGTGGAGTAGGCTTGTAAAAAATGCCTTCCTGGGCCATTTGAATAGCTAGTTTAACGTCATCCGCATCTATATTTTTCTTTTTAGCAAAACTTGAAAATGTCTTTGCATCCTCTAACAACAGAGTAGCGTATCCTGTAAAAGCAATTAGTATTACACTATTGTGTGTAAATTGTAATTTTTTTTAAATATATTACTGTAATTAAATTCTAAGAGATGATTCAAAACTTGCTGGTCGTATTCATATATTCCCAAATCTTTCATTATGGAGACTATAATCTGAGTGTCTTTCGGCAAATGTTTTCCTTGTCCAGACGCCATTTGAAATGTTGACTTTATAGTTTATAACATAAATTCAATAAGCAAATTGTTATTATTATTTATTTTTTTGAAGAGATATTTTCAAAGTAAGAACAGTATTAAATAATAACTGAATCAAACAATAATAAATTACTAAACTGATATAAACTATAGACTAGGTATTAACCGTGAGTGTATTTTGTATTCTTTTCTATGATTCCAGGATTTTGTGTATAAGTCATTAAACTTTATATAGACTACTTTTGCGAATAAAACGGGTTTGAATTCGGCACTAATCATTTGCTAAAAAGTAAAATTTTAAATAGATAAGACCAAAATGATAATAGTCGATTTTTTTTAGTAGTAACAAAATATACTGTAAAGGCCTTATATCGTCTTCTGATTGGCCGTTGTAATCACGGTATCATTTGGTCACCGTGACCTACCAGGTTATTGGTAGAGTTAAGCACAACCACAAAATAGATTATAATATTACTACTATGAGACTAAATTTATAAATTTAAGACTAAAAGTATTTATGTAAAAATACCTTCAGAAATTAGTTGAAATATTTGAAATCTTTTTTTTTTTTTAATTGAAATGATCAACTGTTTTCATTTTTTTTATGTAAAAAATGTTCAAATTTAATTTATTTAATTACAAGAAACCGAGTTTATTAAATGACAATAGAAAAATTAAAGCTGTTAATTAAATGACATGGTCGAAATTTATGAAACATTTATCCTAATTATTGCCTGTATAAAACTCCTTAAAACCTGTCCGCTTTTAATTCTATTAATGTAAAAACATTGTGACGATGACTTTTTGCCAGAAAAAAACGTTGCATTTGGTAACAACGTTTTAATAAAATAATATCAATGTCTTAAAAATTATGTAGAAAGAAATCAGTACACAATACTGTGATAGTATAAACTCGTATATTAAACATACAATTACTTTCATTTATTTAAATAAATTTTTAACAATATATTATGATACAATTTTTTTTGGTTATATAATAGTAAAACATTAAAAAACTACATAAAAACTATGTACCATTTGTCATTTTTATAATACAATATCTATCTAAATCCGCGTACAAAAATAAGCAGAGTTCCGAGTTTTTGAAAAGGTTATATTATTTATTATATTGGCTAACCAATATTATAATTATCACAGACATTATCAGTCAAAATTATTTATAAATATTAAAATAATAATACAAAATTTACACTTTTGGTTTTTATATTAAACTAAAATAATAAACAATGATAGAATCAAGTAATTTCGTAGAAATAGGAATTATTTCTATGTTGTGGACTTATTGAATAGCATGCACTTGGGTTATCACTCGATAAACGTTTTTACTTTTCAACAAAGAACTATTAATGATACAGTTGACCATATTGTAGTCATCCATGTCGCATAACTTGTCCCATAACTCTGATCCCAGAACAGATTTAAAAATGGTAATTTTTTTTAATAAAAGTGCAGACAGCTTGTACTTTGGTTTCCATTTCATCAAAGCTACAGTACTTGTTGCATAATCAACTGAGCCCAAAACCATAATTAAAGTCGCAAGCGATTCTTCAAACAAACGAGAACCTGTGGAAAAAAGAATTAGTTAAGAATTTGTTTACAGACTTGTGTGCTAAGATACTAACGATTACGATTATCATTAAAGTACGATAGAAACTTTTCTTGCAGCGTCTTATAACAGTTGTACATGGTTATATTAATATGTTCTTTATAGTCTTTATTCGGGTAGACTAAGCGTTTGTATTTATTTACATAGGTAGCCACGATAGTGTTACAAGATGTTTTGAATGGTGGAATTGATTTAACTAAAAATGGCATTTTAAAAATTAAAACAAAATTAACACATAGAAGACAACAATATGTACTATTACCCAATGCTTGTAGGGTTTTTAAAGCATTTCCTTCATTTTGTTGAGTATTCAAGTAATTCTCAATGATTGGAAACAGACAATTCACAATAAATTCGACCTTGTCTTTGGGATTACAACATTTCAAAAATAAAACGATAGATACGAAAAAATCTGTTGATAAAAATATTCAAAAATTACCAAATACAAAAAAACTGAAATTGAAAAATTGTTTATTTTAACACATACCTGGTTTGTTTATGTGCTGCATGAAATTTACAGGTAACTCTGTGCTAAACGAGTAATTAAAATGAAATGATAGCAAATTAATTAACTCTCGCTGGTAAATATCAGGGCCAATAAACTGTTCAGAGTAGAATTTCTGTTTAGCAATCAAACATGATAAAATAGGTACAAGAACAGGGTCTGAAACAAAACACATTCTTATATAAAACTTAAAGGCCAAAATAATTTAATAGCATCATGAACAAAATATACAGGCTGGCAGAGAGGTATGACGTTTTTCACAATAACTAATAAATCACTTAGTTTAAACAATCAAATTAAACAAAAATCTAAGGCAGTTTTTAATTTTTGTCTCAGTCAAATTTAACCAAATTACATTACTCCATACTATAGGTGGACAATACTATTGTATACCATTTTGTTGACAAATTTACCTCAAATCTGGATTAATAGTTATAAAATTAACATGAAATTCCAAAAAATAAAATATCCAAAAACTAGATTTACCCTGCTGATCATTTAGTTTCCTAGGTAAACAACTTTTCCACATCAATAACGATACAAATATGACACAGCAATACTTATTAGGTAATAATACCATTGAGTCGAAAATAAACATTTGTAAAGTCTTCAATAGTCTTAATCGCACACATATGTCAACAAAATATGTTGTTTGTGTAATGATCATATTATCCTGAAAAAAAAAAAAAATTAAATTCTTAGCTACTTATTTTTATAAGTATTTTATTAGTTTGTACTTCATATTTATGCTCCTTACGAGGAGTGTGTCAATACACATTTAAGTAATATAGTTTACATAATTACATATTCATTTTACTTTTTAGTTGAAATCACTTACAATCTGATGGTTAACATTCAATTTTTTGTTTAATATATTCTTCCGAATGACATTTAAAATCTTATGAATTAATGAATCTTTCCTGATCATTTTTGCTAGTGCCAAAGTGAGCAAGGTTAACCTTACTATTTTAGGGCAAATAATGTGCAAATTTGTGCTTCTCAAATTTTCAAACTTCTTGGCATCATCCAATTGAGAATAGTCGACTTTGTAGGGTTCCAATCCGTTTATTACTGGTACACCGAGAGTATTTTCAAAAAGAAATACTCCAAATGAACTAGAGTAAATTAAAATGTGTACATTACATTAAATTCTTGCTATAGTCAATTTCATTTACATTGGAAATGTCATTTATTACCAAGCGATATCCTCTTCACTGAAAAATCTTAGGTTTCTAAATTCTTTAGATTCCACTACTTCATTTATAGGCTTGTTTGAATTAATAAATTCTCTTAGGTTGCATCTAATTTTCATATTACTCTTGGGAGCTAAAACAGTTTATGATTCATAAGCATTGTTTAAATTCATCTAGAAAATTATTGATTACGATAAAATTGCATTCCATTGACTTACTATGTTGTTTCTTTTGTTGTAAAGCTGTATTTTTCTTTTTTTTCTTTTTTTTTTTAGGTGTTTTAATTTCACAGCTCGTTTCGTTGGATTCATCGAGTTTTCCAATGCTTTCGCCAACATCTTAAAAAAAAGAAAACAACAAATAGTATAATTAGATAATTTAAATTATATTTTCTACAAACAAATTAATTTACAAATTTACCTTCTTTCATATCAACATTACTGATTTCTAATGGCATATCATTTACATTTATATCTTGTGTTTTAGTATTTGCAATACTACCAATTGTAAATTCCGGATCATCTAAAAAACAACAAATATAGTACATAGATATAAAAATACATTTTATTTACTCAAGTAAGATTTTATTCAAGTAGCAAAACATTTATAACTTGTTACGCTTTTTTAATAATTAACAGTTACAGTTTTATGTGTCAGTTATTAAAAACCTATAACTAATAGGTACTAATACTAATAGGCCTATGGGGTGATTCCATTTTGCCTAATAACTAGATTTTAGATTTTATGCTCATTTAAGACATTAGTCAAATAACTCTATTAGTTGGGATGATTAAATATTTTTTGAGGCCAATGGTTTTAACTTATTATTATTAATCTTGTATATATGTTGTATATGCTTACCACATTCAGGCACATTTAAATGAAAACACATGGGAACATAAGGCACATCGACTAACATCTCTGTAAATATATCTTGAATGTGTTTCGGAAATGATAATATGTCGTTATTTGAGTATTCTTTTAAATATAATTCATTACACATATCAACTGTAAGATTGGGGGACATATAATCAAGTTGAACCTTTATGCTGGATTGTTGATCTTCTTTAGGTTCAACAATTGTTATTGGCAAAGCTAAAAAATATTTTAGAAATAACAAAAAATAGTAGGTAAGCAACAAAAGGGTTGTGCAAAGTTTTATACCCGTGTCTTTGTCATTGGTATCAAAATTATTTAATGAAAATAATTCATTGTTATTTCCTTGAGTAACATTTATATTTGTAACCAAGTCTTCTTCCTTGTTGAATACAGATATCATATTTTTAGGTTCTAAAACTAAAATAATCATAACAATAATTAAAAGAGTTATTTATTTTGAAGGTTTTTGTTCCATCCAAAAAAAAATTGTACCCTTTTTTCCTCCTATGTCTTCCGAAGAAGTACTATTACTTCCACATAAAGATAAGACATTAGAAGAGTTTAATGATACATTGTTATCACATTTTTGTAACGAATCTAAAGTTTTAGAATTTTTGTCACTGTAGTTGTCGAAATCACATTCTAAAAACATTAAAAACAATTAGTTTTTAAACAAATTTAACCATAATTTAAACACTTAAATATTTAAAATTGTATTAATTGACAATACATTTATAGCGTTAAATTAAAGCTCATTGCAATACTCACCAATCTGCAATTTTCCTTCATCGTCAGAACTATCATTGTCAGTCGAATTATTATTATGATTAAGCACCTTTCCGTCATCATAAGAACCAATATCAGTAGCCGGACTACTATTGTCCAAGTTTAGATTGAATATACTTGGTTGAGGTATATCAATAGTCTCTATGATATGTACAAATGAAGAAAATTATTATTAATATAATGTTGTATTATAATAATTTTTAATATTAATTTGGCTCACCCATTGTGTTTTTTTCACAATGTACTTTATCCATTGATTTTGTTAATGTATTGTGTTCATATTGTGATTCCAACAATGGTAAACCATTTTGAATTAGTCCAAATAATGATTTACTCTCTTCATTATGCCCTAAACAAATTTGTTTACAATTAACATTTAAACTTAATTACTCACATAAAATTATATTTTAGGGGTATAGTTTACACAGGGTTGATGAATAAAAATAATGTCGTGCTATGAACCAAATTAAAATGAATAATTCCTAGGTTAATAAGCGCTCAAGAGAGACTTTAACTTAAGGTTTGTACATTGCTAATGATTTTATAATTACAAAATTAGTTTTAATCAATATATAAGCCATCGAGGGCAAAAGTAGTGAAAGTCACGTAAGTTCAAAGTTGAGAAATAAAAAGATAATGCAGAAATGCTGTAAACGATTTTACGAGAACGTAAAAGTTCTCCCGTCATATAACGAAAACAACCAAAGGACTTGTACTACTTTCGCAGGAAACTGATTGAAGGTAGAATTATCTGGTAGTGTTACTTAAGATTATGTGAAAACGTAATGGGACTTACACCACTCTTGCTCTTGGCATCACATATTTTTTTAAAATATAATCTAACCAATAAAATGCAAAAATAAAGTTTAAAAATTAAATATCGTACCCATAAGACTGTTTTTAAAATCTGGTGTCGTTTTGATTATTGAACATGGTTTATAGTCTGGTTTCTTTTCATCATGAAGCGTATCACATACATTAGTAGATGGAGTCAATGTTTTATCTATTTAAAAAAAAAGTCGATTGTTTTGAAAAATATTTTGCATTTGAGAATTAGGAGACAGCGTGTTGGTTTTTGAATTACCAGAATTTGAATTATACAACTCATTACTACTGACTTGCCAATCTAAGTATTAAAAACATCACAATAGAGTAAGCAACATGCGAGAATAATAAGCGCTCTGTGCCAAAGTGTTTTTTGTTCAAAAAACAAGTCTTATAGAAAATTACTTGACTTTTGCAGAATTATCAGATTTCAATATTTTTTTTTTAAAAAGAAGTTTTTTTTAAGTCTGCATTGGATTTTTATTTTTTTAAATATAATTCTACACGCTGTAATAACAGTTCAATGCTGACTATATTGCACTAATATGCAAAAAAAATTATCAAATCTGATCATATTTACAAGACATAATATCATTACTTTTCCCGAAATGTTTCACAACTAAAATGGCTACAACTCACACGGAAAATGTTATTAATTAAAAATTATACCATAAAGCTAATACAAAATTAACTGAAAATAAGTGAGCGAGATCAAAATTAAAAATGTACAAAAAAAAGTAAACTTACCCATAGAGTTATTTTCATCATAAGCTGGTGTTATTGTACTGTTGTCTAAATTGATATTTTTCCCATTACAGATTGAATCAGGCACTACATTATTTGAAGCTAAATTAAATATTTTAAAACACAATTATGAATGTCAAGTAAAATAAGATTTACGAGTAAAATAAAATATTACAGATACTCACTAGTTTGGGTTGATTCATCGTCAGAAGATGTTTCACTATCTACATTAGTTATTATTGCACTATTGTATGAATTGATTTTCTTCTCATTACAGATTGAAACAGGCACTACATTATTTGAAGCTAAAATAAAAATTATAACACACGTTTATAAATGTCAATTAAAATGAAATATTTCAAATACTCACTAGTTTGGGTTGATTCATTGTCAGAAAATATTTCACTATCCGAAAACCATTCATTATTGATACAAGGCATAGTTTTAGTCGATTCAATTACTCTTTTTAGTGGACTATTACCGCAATGAAATTGGTTGCTACTAAGATGTATTGGTGACTTATTAGGTTCATTCTTTGATGCACTATCTAAAGGCAATTTGTTTGGCGATGATATGCTTTTATTTGCTAAAAGAATCGAGAACAAAAATTTAATTTAAATATTTTGTATTAGATATAAAAAATAAAACATAAATAATATCCAGTGAATTTTTCCAACAAATTTAGTTTTTTTTTTTATTAGCCGTGACTCACAAGAACTAGATCTGAAGAATTAGTGTCTTGACATTTAAAAATTTGAACTAAATAATTATTGCTATTATTTTGTAAAACTAAAAAAACTGTTATGATTGAAGAACAAAAAAAAAGAAACCTTACCCATTGAATTTTTTTCGTCATTAGTTGTTATTGCACTATTGTCTGAATTGATATTATTTTCATAAGAAATTGAAACTGACACTACATTATTTAAAGTTAAAATATAATAACAGCACATGTTTATAAATGTCAACCAAAATAAAATATTGCAAATAACTCACTAGTTTGGGTTGATTCATCGTCAGAAGATGTTTCACTATCCGAAAACCATTCATTATTGGTACAAGACGTAGTTTTAGTCGATTCAATTACTCTTTTTAGTGGACTATTACCGCAATGAAATTGGTTGCTACTAAGATGTATTGGTGACTTATTAGGTTCATTCTTTGATGCACTCTTTAAAGACAATTTGTTTGGCGATGATATGCTTTTATTTGCTAAAAGAATCGAGAACAAAAATTTAATTTAAATATTTTGTATTAGATATAAAAAATAAAACATAAAACATAAATAATATCCAGTGAATTTTTCCAACAAATTTAGTTTTTTTTTTAATTAGCCGTGACTCACAAGAACTAGATCTGAGGAATTAGTGTCTTGACATTTAAAAATTTGAACTTAATAATTATTACTATTATTTTGTAAAACTAAAAAAAATGTTATGATTGAAGAACAAAAAAAAAGAAACCTTACCCATTGAATTGTTTTCGTCATTAGTTGTTATTGCATTATTGTCTGAATTGATATTCTTCTCATAAGAAACTGAAACTGGCACTATATTAATTAAAGCTAATGTATAATAACAGCACATGTTTATAAACGTCGAGTAAAATAAAATATTGCAAATACTCACTAATTTGGGTTGATTCATTATTGATAGAACCCGTAGTTTTAGTCTGTTCGATTATACTTTTTAGTGGACTATTAACACAATGGTATTGTTTGTTACTAAGATGTATTGGTGACTTATCAGGTTTATTTTTTGATGCACTCTCTAAAAACAATTTTTTTGGCGATGTTATACTTTTACTTGCTAAAAGAATCGAGAAAAAAAACATAATATTAATATTTTGTATAAGATAAAAACAAAAAAAAGGAAATCCATACTCTTATTTTCATTTAAATGTGTTTTCTTGTGTTCCACTTTTTTTTGACCAGTAATATTTAATTCTTTTTTAGAAACCAAATTAGTTTTTAATAAACAAGATGATTGATTATCTAAAAAAAAAATTATGTTTAAAATTAGACTAACGTTTACTTTCGTTCTATGTTGTTTATAATAATATTCACTTGTATTATTACTTTCATATTTGACAGGACTATCGTTAGTAAAAATATTTTCAAATGTTAAAGTTGAAGATTTAGGTATTTTGTTCAAATTACCATTAACATGTTTCATTTCTGTAACAAAAAAGTTAATTTTCAATAATATCAAATTTTCAATTAGAGTATACTTAAATTGAACTAAACATGTTTAAACATTAAAACATACCTATTGATTCCTTTTTTTCGATCTTAAAATTGCCTTTTAGGATTATTTGGTTTTTATTTTTTGAGGGTTTAGAAGAAGAATATAAAGTATTATCAAACGATTGTTCATCTTTCTGGACAATAGTTTTACTATTTTGACATTCTAAAAACAACAAAAACACAAGTTATTTAACTATAAAATGATATATTTTAATAATAAATTCATTTAACATATGTATGTAAGTTAGTTAGATTAACGCTTTAAGACTGTACATAAATTCCATTTTAGGAGAGATTGCAGATGTTGCTTTTGCGGTATAATATTATTTATTGTTTTCCTAACATTAAACCTTAGCACCAGCCCTTATTTAATTATTGCGGAACAATCATCGAACTGATCTATTATTATTTTTTAAATCTAAGATATAATACTATTTTAAATAAATATTAGTTATAACTCACTTGGATTGAGCTGATAACCATTTGTATTTTCACTTTTTATTTCAGACTCAGCAGTTTTGGCTGGTAAGCATGTATCTAATTCGAAAGTATTTTCCATTGTTGTTGCAACATCATTCTCTTTTTCAGCCAATACTAGAAAATAAAATTGTTAAAAAATGTTTGCAAATAAATGAAATATTTGTTTCTTACTTTCGTTGAGAAATTCACAACTATCGGAGTGGTAGTCTACACCTACATAAGCTTCATTTAGAATACTCATTATGTCTGGTTCTATATCGTATGTTTTTGGAACTCCTAGAGTTTCATCAGAAATATTCATTGCAATATCATGTTCTATATTATGGCTTTCTTTTCTATCATTAGTAACAACTGTTTCATTTGTTATGCTATTTATAATGGGTTCTATACAATTGATTTTTGATGTTTTTGGAAACACTTCAGAAGTTCCATTTGACACATTCATTGCGGTATGTTCTATACGGTCTTCTTTTATATCGTTTGGAACAACAGTTTTGTTTGAAACATTCTTTAAGATGGCCATAATTGGTTCTATATGTTCTTTTTTTGATGTTTTTGGAACCACTTCTAAAGTTTCATTTGAAATATCCATTGCGGTATGTTCTATATGGTCTTCTTTTATTATATCGTTTGGAACAACCGTTTCATTTGAAACATTCTTTAAGAAGGTCATGATTGGTTCTACATGGTCATCTTTTAATGGTTTTGAAGCTACTTCTAAAATTTCATTCATACGTTTAAGTACTGGTTTAACTTTTACAATGTTTCCTTTATTGACTATGTTGTTTCTCGGTCTAATTAAGCTTTCTTTCCCTTTTGTTATTAGACTTTGTAAAGCACTGTTTTCAGCAATTTTTTGATGATGAAATTTATCACGAGCTTTTTGAGTGTTGATATCAAACACAAAATGCTTTAATTTTGTATTTAATATTTTATTGAGAGTTATGTCAAGATCAAAGTATGTTTTACACTTACACTTATTCTCAACTGGAAGGGCTGAAACAAAACAAACAAACAAACTAAAAAGACATTTATTAAGTGAACCTCAAATTTAGCACCAAATTGTGTAGTAACTGTTCTTTATCACTTTTACTTGTACAAATATAAAATATAAAATAAATATAATTTAATTACTCACAGCTTCGTAATTTCTCGTTTATACATGAATTAATTATTACATTTGTATTAGTTGCTGTTTGAGATACTAAAATACTTTTATTAGTCAACTTGTTATCAGCATCATTGGTTTGCTCATTTATAATCGCTTGAGGTAGTTCGGTAGCAACAAAATCAGAAAAATCTAAAAATGATTGTATCATAAATAATAAAATAATAGTAAGGTAAGTTAAGTTTAAAGAAATAAAATTTGTGGAATAAATATGTACCAAAATGAATTGGAGTGGCAAGTGTATTCTTAATTTTTAAATCATCTTGTCCTGCTTCTTTGTTTGTTTGTTGACTATTTATTAAAAATGTATTTGACATTTCTAAATTGCTGCCATTAGTTCGTTCTTTATAACAAAATAATAATAGTAATAGTATTAATGTATTTATTAAATAGTAATTGAAATGAAAACTGGTAATTAAACTAAAAAAAAATTACTTACGACTATTTATACTCTCGTTAGAACCATCATCGCTACATAAAGATTCAATAACCGAAGCAGGCGTTAAAGGCAAGTCAAACATACTTTTTTGTAGACTAGTGTTATAGGTATTTTCATTATTTACATTCACTTGAGGTGATTTGATTGTATTTTTCTCTAGCACAGCTATAAATAAAAACGTTTTTTTTTTTTTTAATATTATAAGTAAAAAAAAATTTAATGTTTTACATTAACTAATATTTATCACATTAAATTATAATGAATAATTGTAAAAACAAATTTTTTAAACTACTCAATCTAAATACATTTATAACATATAATATTTTTAGTTAAAATGATGTAAACACAAAATTACTTTTTTTTCCCGTGACGTTATTGACTAACAAATATCGAGGTGAATCTCCAGGACATTCTGATGAATTACTATTTAAAGTTGAGGTATCGTCTGAATTCATAGATTTTAATGACGGATTATCGCGTATAATTACACGAAAAACTTGAGCTGGATTTTTCTTTTGGCAAAAAGATACATCTATATCTTCTTCACTATTCAATTCATTGCTTTTACCCATTTGTATATTATGATTACCTGCAAATAATATAATAATTATTAATTTTTCAAAAACTAAAATTATATTTAATTTAAAAAAACAAACAATGTACAACATTTTATGCCGTTAACAATTTTCCCAATAATTGGTTAACAAGGTGAGATTATGAAAAACAACTTACTAGTATCTTTTAATTTTAAAGTTGATTTCTTGTTGAAATACTTTTTCATTCCACTATCTAACACATATAAATCATTTAATTAATTTAAATTGAATAATAACACACCCGATGATGCACCATTTTTAAACAGTTGCAAAGCAATAGATATACTCAAACAAATTAAAATACATATATACACGTATGATCACAAGTGTGTGTGTGTGTAAGGGTTAATATATTTAAAACATATTGCATATTACTTTAGTTATATTTAATTATCTAAAACAGTATACCTTTAGTAAAAGTAGATGCACAATCTGAGGCCAATGAAGATTCATTTGCTCTGTTAACTGTATTAGAAGCTAAAATTAAATAATTATTAATTATTACACATTGTATTTAAAAATTATAGAAACAAAGTTACTTGTTGCACTAGTTTGAGTTAATTGAAGTTCTTCTTCAGATTCAGAACCTGATTCAAACAACGATGGCGTAGAATTTGTATTACGTTTTTTCTTTGTTTTTATTCTTTTGAAATTTAAAGATGAAGAAACAATGTCATTTGTAAAAACTAAAAAATATACAAGAATTTATAATATAAAAAATATATACTAAGATCCATAAAGTAGGTCTGAGGTATAAATTATCGATGGGTGTCTAATACCTCGAATTTTTAAAAAAGTCAATTTATTATGTACATATTGCAAAATCAATTTTTTTTTAGATAAGAGGTATATATACTGATGATATTAAGAGTCCAAATTTTAATTACTATCACAATTTGTAGTGATGTTCGTTTGAAATTTTTTCTTCTTCATTAATTCAGTTTGTTTGAAAAAACAACTTAAAGTTTGGTTTAATTTGGTCTTAAGAACATTTAAAAAAGTTTGGTTTTGATTTGCATTGAAAAATAAGGCTTTGTCACATCACAATTATACTATTAAAACAGATTCTAAAATATGACACTAAAATAATTTTTTTTGAATTTTTATGAACTATAAAGATTGGGATAATCTATTCACACGTTACGTGTTACCACGGCCTTTACACGCTGCAAATTTTTAATCCCGTGGTCTCCCATTTATATTTATACATTACTCAATTTTGTGATCATATTTTTAACTTGCCACTCAATTCCATGCCGTTCTACAACACACATTTCAAAATATTTCGAAAAGACTGTTACATTTGACGACAACCAACAGAGTGCTTTATCAAATTACTTTATACTACTGTGCTTTAAATACTCCTTTTTCATCTCTTTTCTCATTAATAGGATTAAACCCAAAATTTGCGGCTACTTGAAGATTCATTTAAAAATGTTGCCACGGCCATTTCTTACAAATCCCCTTCAAAATTACTGTCAGGAAACTTGAATAATCCATAATTGATATTATAGGTGCATATTCTCTAATCAAAATTAAAAACGGTACTGATGCTTAACGTATAAATTTAATTCATTTTATTATCCGTGGTATCCGTCGCGTTGTATTAGTATGCACAACAAAATCACACATATAACACGGTGTGGCGTGTTACCACTTGATGTGTGAATAGTATTTCCCTACCTTAATAAGGATTATGATCATCAACTATTTTTTTTAATATGGACCTTAATAAAATAAAATATTTACCATATCCAGGCATGACTTTTTTGTTTTTTTGGAAGTTTTTACTTCTCTTTCCTGAAACAAAATTAAAAAACATTACACTTGAATAAATATATATTTTTAGTATTTTGCGTAACAATTTATACTTGGAGGTTTTTTGGACTTGGTTGCTTCATGGTTAATAGGCATTTTTGAATCTTGAGATGTTTTTAATTTGTTATTCTCTAAAGAACAAAATAGGTTTTGTTAATCAAATGTGTAAAATTTTATATAGTACATTCATAACTTTAATACCTTCCAGTTGTTTAAGCAATCGATGTCTGGTCATGTATCCCCTAGTGGTTGTTTGAACAGCTTCATTGATATCTTCTATGCTCAAACTACATGATTTTTTCCTTTTAGCTAAAAACAAAATTAATTTATTTTAAATTGTTCATAAGTATTTGTACTACTATATTCTGTTAATACTAACATAAACTTGCATTATATCATGTTACAGTAGTGCAAATAATAATTTAGTAAAAAAAAAAATATGTTTAGCTACAATATAAATTGTAGAGATATTTGAGCAGTTATATTTTTCAATTATCTAACTAAAAGAAAAGAACAGCTAGTTTTGATATAAACAGGAAAATGTAAAATAAACAATATACATATATTATCGAGTCCTGCATTTGCTACACAATAGATAGCAAGTAATTATTTAGAAATGTTATCTACAGTAAGAAAGGTACGAATGTATAGTTAGAAGGGAAGTGTCGTATGAATGACTCGATCGGTAACAAAGAAATTTAAGGTTTAATGTTGTCTGGGTACCAATCTTGGTTAAGTTTTTAAAAATGACTGCTAAACAAATACTATTTTCAAGGTCGATAGTTACCTACCAATAAAAAAATCGAAAAGCTAGAGCATGACGTACCTAATTATAAATTAGTCAATACAATACTATAGAAACGACTTACAAGAAATATTATCATTTTCATTAGAGCTATCTTCATTGTCTGTGTTTAGAAGTGGTCTTTTAGAATTTGAACTAGGTGAACTTATTTTTGCTGGTGAAAATGAATTAGCTGGAAAACAAATATAAAAATTATTAGTATTATTTTGGGCTCCTAGTAAGCACCATCTCCGGCCAGTGTTTAAAATTAGACAACTAGATGATAATATTAAGAAAACAGTAACTCACTGTGACTTGGACTCATCTTGATCATTTTTCAAGTGATGCCAGCAGTCTCTATATCTGCAGCTAACGTTTAATTGTTTCCGCTATATCAGTTCACAAAAAGAAACAATATGAATGGTAGAATAGGTATGAAACAACACAGCTTTAAATAACTATTGTTATAAACAACTTTATGGTTGACTTTAAAAATTAACTTCCAATTGAACATAAAAATTATAATGAATAAGACACACAGTACCCGACAGCACCGTGTTACAACAAAAAAAAGCAATGGCAATTGATTTATAATGAAATTATAAATTAAACTATTTAGTTGAAAGTTTACAAACAACACTGCTTAAGTAAAACGTTTGCAAACGTTTGCGCCAATCGAACAAAATTTAATACTCATCACATACCGTGCTTGTTTATAGTCATCGAAATATAATTATCGTTTAAATATTATGTTCCGGATGTGAACGAATGTTTTTATATTACTAAATGTAAAATCAATGAAGAAAACATTACAAATTACAATGGGATTAATGAAAAACGCTGAAGAGAATACACCGACTTCGACCGGTGTGCTAAGTACCGACCATGTGCATATCATGAAGTTAGAAACATCAAAACAATTGAACAAGGCGAGCTGCTGTTACCGCGTTTATGTTCTTGATAAGAGATCATGATAAGAGACAATGATATAAGATAATATTTTTATAGTCATTGGTAAATACAAAATAACAACATTATGTTGTATTTAATCAATTTTACAGCGTTGTGTAAACAATGCAATACAAAATGAATTATTTAAATTTTAAGAAAATACGAAATCAACACAACCGACGAGGAAATTTGCAGACATAGTAATAAACCATTAAATGTTGAATATAATTCGTTTTCGGTATTACTTTTAAAATTGTTTTTTTCCTACGCCTCATAATGGAGGTAATATTGGTAACAGTCCAATAACACGCTATACGTCCTATTCATTGCAAATGATCTAAGATAATACCACGGCCTTAGAAAAAGATATTATTGTCTTTAAAAGTTCTAAGACCACTGCCGTGTCTCTAGACCATTGAACTATAATGTTAAATGTTGGAGGCAAAATGGATTTATAAGACTCCCTTGGATGGAGGTTTTTACAATTTACAAGATAAACTCCACTTACACAGTCTTTGAAATTGATAAGAATTTTAGGATCAATATAAATTGAGTTCTAGAAGCGCGCGCATATGTGCCATACCAGAAGTTTTATTAAAACAAACAAGTGACAACAAATTTTAATTGTTTTAAAAATTATAATCGTTTCTGTTGAATTAAGCATTTAAAAGCATATCACAACATGCCCAAAATTCAATTGATGCATCCCAGGAATTTGTATAGAACCCCGCCCAATTTCAAAGAATTGGCAGACAATTACCCAGAATTTAGAAAATATGCAACCACTGTAAGTTTTTCATTTGTTACACTATTTGTATTCGCGTTTTTACTTAGTTTTGAACATTGCACAATTCAAACGTTTACAGAGTCTAGACGGAAAAATAGTTTTTGATTTTAAAAATCAAGACGGACTAAGAGTGTTGACACGTATTTTGTTGAAAAAGGATTTTGATCTGGATGTTGATTTACCAGTTGGTAAACTAATACCGACTGTTCCTTTACGACTCAATTATATTTTATGGATAGAAGATCTTTTGAACTTGAATAATTCCAATTCATCAAATACCAAAGGCATAGATATAGGTAAATATGTAATATAATTAACATTGGCATTGTAAGAAATAGGTATTTTCTATCATTTAGTAAACATTTTGCTACTTTTATAGGTACCGGAGCATCGTGCATTTACCCATTACTTGCGGCTAAGAAATTTGGTTGGTCCATGGTCGGTACTGATATTAATAAAGAATCTGTTGAAAGTGCGTCAAAAAATATATTAAAGAACAACTTACTAGATCGCATAAATGGTAAATCTAAAACACAAAATTTAGTATATTAGTTATGTTACCTATTGATGCTAAAATTATAGCGCTTGGTATTTTTGAAGAAATCATATTTTTACAGTTGGTGTAGTTTTAAGAAAAATTTTCTATATTATAAATGCGCAGTTTTGTTTCAAGTCGACTTTCAAATTTTACGTTATGTAATCAGTTTTTAAATTTTCCCAGCTCTTTTATGTTTAGTACACTAACGCTTTTAGTCATGATTCGTACTCATTGAGCCAGTAACCTCTTACGGAACACTAATAGATTAGCCTTCCTGCTGGGAACTAAACTGCATTTGTTTAAAATTTGTATTAGGTAGACTTCTTGATTCATTTTTATTCATTTAACATTTAATGACTTGGAACATAATTAAACGGAGCGCCCATAATCAAGTGTCGAACCAGCGACAGTAAGTGCTAAACACTTCCGCCTTATCCACTCGGCCATTCCTCCTCCTAATTTTTCAAATATAATATAATATTTTTATTTTTTAGACAATTGTACGTCTAATATTATCCTTTGAAGTTTGATAGTTATTTGTTTTCAATTCAGGTTTGGTGTGTTTTTTCTTTTCTCCTAACTTTGTATAGATTAAATTTACTATAAATATGCACAACTTATATAATAATTGAAAACATTACTATAGTTACTTTCAATTCTGGATATCACAAAGGTAAACCTAAAATAACATTTTAAAATGAGCGCCGAATCAACCTCACGTCGAAAAACAATCTGAATATTGCTTATCTTTAATATAATAAATAATTATTAATCTATGTTCCTACCAACCAAGTGCCGGAAAAAAAAAAAATTTTTTTTTTATAGTTTTTATCATCATTTTACAAAATTAAGTTTTTTTTTTGTCAAATTGCATCTGTATTCTATATTTATTATGTATATAATTTTAATGTATACAAGTTTCTTGTTAAAAATGTCCTAATACTATTCACATTTCATATTTTTTTTAGTATTAGAAGTGTCAGAATGGGATAGCCTTTTACCAGTGAAAAAAAATGAACATTACGATTTTTGTATGTGTAACCCTCCGTTTCATTGTCAACAAGTATTAAACACGTCTGACGAGGACGACTGCGATAAAGCAAATTCCTGTGAAATGTACACGGCTGGCGGTGAAGTCGATTTTGTAAAAAAAATTATAAGCGAAAGTGAAAGATTGCTTAATTCCATAAGGTACGTTAGTACATATTTAATATTTTTTAAAAATTGTATTGATCATTTTTTTTTTGTGTATATCGATTTAGTATTTATACTACTATGATTGGATACAAATCGTCACTGAAACCACTCAAAAAAGAACTTCAAAATATTGGAGCCAAAAGTATCTGTGAAGCTGGATTTTTCCAAGGTCGTACAGCACGTTGGGGAATAGCATGGACATTCCAGCCAGACATAAAACTAATCGATTTTATGCCTACTAAAGATTTTAAGAAAAAAGCACTTAAACCGCCCGTGTCATTTGCTCTTCCAGATTCTTATGATGCAAATACTGCTCTGTCAAAGTTGAACGAGCTATTGATAAGTCTTAAGGTAGTGTACCCGTTTGTTTATTATTTATTTAGATAAATTTTATTTTGATTGTTGTACAATTATTTTATTTACAGTTGGCTATAGTTCCCTGTAAAACACCAACGAACAAAGATACCTTGTTTCAAGCTGACGTCAAAGCATATGAAAACACGTGGGTTCACCAAAGACGAAAAAGACGTATGGAACAGAGAACAATTGACAATAAACGACAAAAATTGCAAGAGAGCACACCCGAAGATTCATACAATGTAGTATGTGCACAACCCTCAGAAACTAATGTCAATAATAAGACATTTTTATTTGACGCCACATTTCTTTTGCGGAAATCCAATGACAAGATTTGGGTTGATATGTTGCACGTAAACGGCAATAGAGATAATTCCCATCAGGTGTTTCAGTACTTAAAAAATAGATTTACATAACGTAAGTCAGTCAAAGGTATATAAATAAATACAAAAACTATGACGTTTTTATTAGTTTAATGTGAATAACAATAAAAAAAAAAATATTGTGTATAATATACTTAATTATAATTTAATGATTACATTACTAAAAAACTAGTTTATTATTTTGGTACAGCGTTCTTGAAAAAAAAAAAACAAAGAAAGAAAAACAAATTACTTTATAAAAAGATACAAAGAAAAACTAAGAAAAAAAAACATAAACCTTAAATAAAATAAAAAATAGATTCAACATAAATAATCTACTTGTTTGTACATTACCAGAAATTTATGGGAGTTGGGGGAATAACCCCATTTATATTGAACATGACTTTTTTTTCATACATTTAATGAGATCAACAAATTTGTTTAAAAAAATGTCATTACTTAGAAGAGAGTGTATAATATGGTTTTTTATACAGCAATTATTTTACTTGGATCTACTTTGATACGAAGAAATAGTGTGTTTTCTTTGATAAACTGTCTCTTTTTCAGTAATGTATCATGCGACACGAATTTTGGAAAACCAAATCCGAGACAATCCGGTTGTGTGCTTGGCCGTTGGAAATTTTCCCAGGATGGATCAGGCACAAAGCTTTCTACTATGTTGCATGGCTACGGAAAAACAAAGAGGTAAATTAAACATCATGGCATTGCCTGGTACATCATAATAAATCGACTAATGTCATACAAGTATGTTTGCACGTTTCAAAATGAATATTTGAATCACATTTATTTATTCGTGTTTTAATTTTATCATATGTTTGTTATAATGTTAAGTTTTATTAATAATAATAAAAAAAAATTGTGTTCAAATATAGTATGTGTATGACAATTTTTTTCTATTTTTTTATTTTCTACAGTACAGATGTACAACAAGGTGTATTTGAAAACTATGTCACCCTATATAAAGTCACACTCTGTTGAGAGCAAGATATACATAGCATGACATTGAATCCCGATACACCTTGTGAATTTTTTTATATAATGGTTACTAATATAATATGTTTTTATACCTTTTCGCTTTGGTCAAACAATGTAAACGCCACTGAATGTGAAAACGGCCATTTCAGTAGAGCATCAAATTCTCCCGGCAGGATTTTTATGTACACCGATACGTGTGTGCCCTCGCCAGATCCGTTGCCGTTCAAAAACACAGACGCTTGTAACTTGTACCCAAACTGACTGGTATAGAACGGCGAGCCGATCAGCTCCAGTCCGTCGCCACACAACTTATGTCGGCCTTCTTCCAGTTTCTCTAGGACATCACTGATTTTCCAGATTAGAGTACCTAAGGCCAATGGGAAATAATAAATTATTGTATTGATGATCAAAAACAAAAATCAATACAAATCTAACTGTTTATTGGTTATGATTTAAACTCACCCGATTGGTTAACGGCCATGTTATTAATGACTTTTTTCATGGACACAATTTGCTGCTGTTGTTTGGCGACCATCGCACACATGAGTGTCATGTGCTGTTGGCCGGCCTCTTCCATGTGCGCATCCATGGGTTTTCCTCTCAAAGCCTGTAAATTACAAATTGATTTAATATACAAACATAAATACATACATCTTATTGTGGTGAAAGAGATGAAATGTTTGTGACAAAAAAGATTGCTATAAGTCATATAATTATTGTAAATATTTAGAACTATTTAAAAATTTACTCATTTGATAAATTAATAAAAATGTAGACATAAAAACAAACTTAAATCATAATTTAAACACTTTGATTACAACAGTTTTATTTATTCATTGCATTTTTTGTTTTTACCTTTTACAACTTAATTGATTGATCTTTTTTAGTTAAATGAGGAGATTTCTATAAAAACTAACAAATTCGGAGGAACGAGTAAAATGATTAATCTCGACTTGGGTAACATGCCAATATTAAAACTGAAAATTCATCGTGTGTGGATTAAGAATAATTGTATTATTTATGTTGATAGGGTTATAATTTATCTAAAAACTAGCACTTTTCATGTTTTAATTATTATCTCATTATTAATATAAATACTACATAAATTACATTCTTAATCATCGGATATTCAACGAGTATACATAATATGTAAATCGTATACTATAATGCTTGTAAACTTTAATCGTCGGTTATTTGTTTTATACAACACTGACCACAACGTGTATTATTAACCCTGTTGGTTCCAAATAAATTTTAGAGGATATTTTTTTCGAATACTTGCCATAATACAACGTGCAATAACGAGTTTTGTGTAGGCAATATTGAAGAAAAAAAAGAGGCTTTAATCATAGGCGCGATTACGGGGGGGGGGGGGGCTAGGGTGGGCTTAGCCCCCTAATGCTAGACATAGCCCCACCAAAAAAATTAGGTTATACATAAAGTTTTAAAATACAAAAATATATTTACTTATATATGTATATTTAAAAAGAAATTCCAGCCCCCCGAGTTAAAAATTGAATTTGCGCCTATGGTTTTAATCAATTTTGATCATATCTATTAATTTACCGGTTAATTCGTATAAGCTTTAAGGTATTATTTTTAATTTAAATAATTTTTTTCTATGATCCATTTTGGTATATTTTAAATCAAAACGCCAGACAACAATGTCGAATTTTACCTTGAAACGGCATCCGACGTCTTTGAAACAACACGACTGCAACGTGGAGTTGCACGTGAGCTTTATGTGATGTTCCAAGTCTTCTCGGGCCACGGTGGCCGTCTCGCACCTGTTCGGGCAAGGGACGGGATACCGCGGGCACGAGGTCGTGTGTGAATTCATCGTGTCGGCCACGAATTGTCGTCCACAATGGCGACACGGTACCAGTCTTTTCGAGCATTCGGTCACCTGGAAAAAACAACGACAGTTTTCATTAGATTTTGTCCCCAACACAACCCCCATTTTTTTGTTATTCGCGTTCTCACCTTGTGCTTGGCCAACATCCTCCGGGGTATCTTGACGCCGCACTTGGCCTCGCAGTGAATGGGCTCCACCGGGCAAGTCCGGCTGTGCTCCTCGCCGGCCGCTTCGCCTTTCATTTCCCCGTTACAGTAATCGCACTTTATAAGACGTTCCACGCACGTGTACCTCACGTGATCGTCCATGAGTATGCGAGCAATCTGGGCCCCACAGTGGTTGGTGCATGGCGTAGCGTCGAACTTGCAAGTTTGCAAATGACCCTAAGATGCCATCACAGTCCGGTTATTAGTATTCATTTTTAATTTCAATCGACTATATTATTATATTATAATAACCTATATTTTAGGTACTAACCTTCAAACGCTTGAGCTGATCGGTCCACTTGCACCCCTCCTTGTGATGGATACAATACACGGTGGAAGCCATAATGTCCTTCTCCTTCTCGCTGTCGGACGCCTAAAAAAATGAAAAAAACAAATCTAACGTTAAATCAAAATTTTACCGACTTCCAACGTCAACGGGGAGAGTATTGGGAATAAAATTAAAAATTCAAGATTACATCCGGCCACTTGTGCAACATGGTATATAAAGCAAATAAAAAAGAACATATCGTGGATTGTATCTTAAATATCAGGGTACAGACGTCTTAACCCAGAGAAGGCAACGCCACATTGTTCGTGCAAACGGACCGTGACAAAATCTGCTCAAAATCCGTTTTTGCTATTTTTTCCCATTTTTTTTGGAACGGGACGACGTACCCGAGCCGGAATGGACTTACAAACAAAGCAAAGCCCGTTTTATATTTACCAAACACATGTGCCGCCTTTTTTTTTACAATAGGTCGGCTGACGAGTTCACCATATGTTTGTAAAATGTAATACAAAAACGATTTTTCGGCCCTTCCCAGTGGGATACCACACGGAACTGTCGACACATGTGTGTGTTGGCACGTTTAAGGTTCCAAACGTCTGAAACGCCTCCTTCAAGGAAATTTAGCCGGGGGCGCGTCTCCTGCTGCTGTCCAAGTGGTTAGCGAGGAAGAGTACCATTTTTACCGATAACCCTTGGTGTTGGTTGTTACAACGGATAGCATTACCAAAAAATAGAAATGTAAAGCCCAGTAATAATAATTGTGAATCCCCCTGTGAACGTCGTTTATGGTCTATTGGTACTCGTGAACGACAGTGTACGTTTTCTGTAGCATATAAAACCGCAGGAATCGATTAATCTAACCTAACCGCTCCAAGAGGATAGCCTATTAACGATAACCGAACCTTAGGTCCCTCGCGACCGGTAGCCATGTAATAATAACTTTCCCACGCGATCATTTCTGTCGTATACACTAATATAGTTTATAATATCCGACTATTTATTCATTTACAGTGGTGCTGTCCATTTTTTGTCAGTTGAACCGCGATGCAATTGAAAATATCTAGCGAGTCTTAAAACAGTAGGAACAGTATAGCAGTAGTGATCAAACCAAAAGATGTCTGCACGGTCTTAAAGTGATCAACTTTAGTAATTTGGCGGCATAGTGGATACCAGATATCAGGATAAAACGAGAACATTGATGGTCAGAAATTGTAAAAGACATTTTTTTTTAAATATTTCCGTCAAAACGTTAATTAATAAATTGAGTAGTTTGATAGAAACTGGACTGGGGTGGAACCAGACGAGGGGGGAAGTTAATCTATACCGTGCAATGGGTAATACTTGTAACACTGGCGTCAGCCACGTACGTTTATCAGGTCTTCATAGGAGCGTCAGGCTAGGTTGGGCACGCCGTGAAACCAAACCAGGTGTGAATCCTTCACCCGTGAGCATCGTGGCCGGTCAGTAAGGCGTTTCGAAAAGGATATACGCTTGGCGAAGTTCGGGGAGAGACCTACCGTAGAATAATACATGCACACTGTAAGTATAGTAAGTTACGGTCGCCGAAGCACCTGCTCGCCATGCACGCAGCTGCGGTCTTACACATGGCGTGTAGTATGTACGTGTACCTAAATACATTAACATGCAAGCTTGGATCTAAATATAAAAATTGGGGAGAGGAGGTCAAGTTTCCCAGAGTAAAAAAAATACTTGGTCATGACCCACCCCATCCCCCTTGGATCCGCGCCTGTTAACGTGTAGGTTGAGCATAATACATCAAAGATCCGAAAAAGCTCCTACACTTGTTGAATAGGACTTAAAAGTTGACTACTCGTCCGATTTAAGAGCAAAACGAACATAAGTCTTATACATATTTTATTATACATTTCATTATTGTACACCACCACCGCACCGACACGGATGGTATTCTGGAAATTCATTTTATTTTTTTTTTGTCACTAAATTACAAAACGATAATAATTATACAGCGTGTCCGTCTTCTATACATTAGCTTTTGTATTACAATAATAATAACAACGACAACAGTACCTATATAATAATGTATTAACATATTATATCGTTATCGCGTGAACGGGGTGCACCCGACAATAGCGTCCGAGATGATCATTAGTCAACCGCGCGCTGGCCAAGCTATTTTGACAGCATTACTAAAAAAAAAAAAAGCATATGTATGTACTTATGCATCTACATACATATATATACACTCAAATATGTATACATATGTAGGTATGTATGAGTTTTCTTACAGACAAACGTATCGAATCGGTCCGGCATTGAATTTGAATTCGAACGCATATCGTGGTCGCGCGTACATAAATTATATTTTCCACCAAAAACGCTTAACAACGAATTATCTTACCACCCGATAACAATATTTCCAGTCACACACGCATAACTTCTTTTATAACAATATATCGTATTATGTGTGTGATATGAATTACTTAGACCGACCCCGACAGATGTATCTACGTCCGCCGTTTTGGGCGCATTCCATTCGGGTTAGTTGGTAGGTTTTATTATTTAGTTTTCACCCGCAACACACATGTGACAGATGCTTTCGAACCGTGATTATCCTCCCTTGTGGACTGCGGGCACAACCCAATGGGGGTCACACGTCCGGCAGCTTGCGCACGCCAGAGAGATGATCAGACTACCTACCAGAAGAAATTAAAACCATTTCGACATCCGTCCATTGGCAAAAGCCACGAAACATATTATTAACCCACTATCTAATTGTACAATTATTATTCACATATTCATCGGATCTTTGATTTGTGTTTTTTTTTTCCATAATATATTTGTCGACCTACTTACACTACTATACGGTTCTTGAGTGAGTTTATTATAACTCGGTTCTAGAGCCCAAGAAATAGGAAATACAAGAACGGGCGTTTGTCACGAGAAGACGTTGCACTAAGAAATGGACAGTTTTTTTATAAATAAAGAAATAAGGTCGATCGTCGACTGTGCAAGATTCGCGGGGCCACCGTAAAGACAGGATCCTGCTTCTTAGGTCAGGCAATAGCATATAGTATCATATACATAGTAGTGTGAACTAGGACCATGAACGGTTTGAAACTTATTGGTAATGTAAACAAAATCTATTTCTTAAACTGAACCTAGTTGGTGGTAAACTTCTACAGTACATAATAATATTATAGTAGTATATGATGTGTATTTGTGTTGCTCGTGCAAACCTTATACACTCACGAAATACGGTCACAGGAGATGAGTACAGGTACAATGATAATTTTCCCGTTGCTACAAACCCAAGTATATTTCCAAATCAACCTAGATCACAAACGAACCGCAAGTTCTTATGAAATTTAAGCGAGGAAAGCACCGAACCGTGTATAATATAGTACACGTTCGGACGTTGAATGTATACAATAATATGCTATTGATAATTATTTTCGAATTAACGGGTCGCCCGAAGACCTTGCATAAGGTTAGTTTATATTATTATTATTTATAGTACTATTAGATATATATTTTGCGGAGGAGAACGCCATTATAAAAGACGAATATTACTACTTATGTTGTGATGTCCGACAACCGGTTGGTTACGCGTTTAGATTATTTCCACTGTGCGGTGCAGCCGAATAACCCGTTAGCTATAGGTCTAGCTAGGATTATATCATACGCAATTTATAGTAATAATAATACACAATAACGTTCTAATGAGCTTAATACGACCCTTTGGACTGTACTATAGGGAATTAATTGGTTTTATTTTACATGGCACATATCCATTATCCATTAAAGGTAAATAAAAACCAAAAATCTCTATCATATTACCTTTCAAATACGATAATTCTCATTGCACATGATCCTTCAACTCACACACACACTGTCCAAGTATAAACCGGCTAGCTCTTAATATACTATTATATATGTATAATATATATACACAATATTATTAAGTTGTTGGCGAATCTAACTGCAGTTTGTTCGTTTATTATATGCGTTTTATTAGTTTTGTGAATAATTCTAAACAACGTTGTTTGCGCCAAACGACAATTATTATGCATTATTCAATTTTTTTTTACATTCATACATTTTATAAATGTAGTGTCACAATGTACACGTTGGCAGTGTGTCTATTAGTACGGTTAAAAAAAAAAAGTGTATACTTACTATTATTAATTAAGCGTGCGACGACCGTACACATTGTTTTTTTTTGTTGTTGTTTATTTATATAGTTCAAGTGCGACTGGGACATATTAAAAAACAAAAGTATAGTGGGCGAATGCATCGTGAAAATGCAGATTTCTACACAGTCGGTCTAAATTATATTTTCATTTTTGACAAATGTCGAGTACCTACATGCGACTTACTCGTAGTCGCAGTCGCCTAACTGTATTTGCATAATATATTATTATAATATAATAACACTGTCTGTGCTAGCCCCTCCCGGACCTTAACTAATAATATTTTCATTAACGGCCGTATACGCTGAAGAAAAAAAAGAAAAAAAAAAGAAGACAATTGTATGCAAATGCGACGGCGCGCTCACAATAATCGTTGCACCACGTTTCATTGTTGTTGTATGATAAAAAAAAGTGTTTTAATTTTTTTTTTCGTTTAATATATTATTGTATACATCATAGTTTTGGTAATATAATAATTCCATATAAGTAGTGGATCGTAGTATAGGTATAGTTTACGTCATTGTATTTCTGTAGCCGTCTGCCATATATGTCTATATATGCCATACATGTGTAGTGCGCCAAAATACAATGTATAATAAATATTATGTATAATACTTAACAGATTGATACCAAAGAATACACATGTACTTAAATCGACACGACTAATAACACTGCGAGCACGACCAATTTTTATCCCTCTCTCTCTCTCTCAAAATAATAGGTAATATAAATATTGTTAATAAGTAAATTACATAAGAAGCTTACGCGTGTATCCGAATAGCGTGTTATAACAAAAAAATTTACGTTTAATTACTTTAACCACAACCACCAATACATTAGGTTTAGCCGTACACACATGATTTATTTACCAGTTTACTTGTAATTTTTTTTTTATCTTCCTACTATTTATTAGATTCCTGTTTCGAGTTGTTCCTATTTGAACTGCACAACCAAACTCGTTCCATGTGCAATGCATTTTTATTTAGCAGAATACAGATCCGTAGTGCGATACCGAAGAATTGCACCGATAAACATAATATTATATTTTAGTCTCTCTCGTGGCCGCTCTCCAAGTATTAAATTCACAAAAAAAAACCAGTAAACGCGGGCTAGTAGAATGACGGGTAGAAGCGTTTTGAATTTCTACTTAAGTAAAAAATAATTTCACACAACCTCTGGGCAATTAATTGTGGCGTTACGCGATGACATTTTTGACAACCGTATATTTTCACAATAAAAATTTCTCTACAATATTAATACCACTAAGTATTAACTATTATTAATTCACAATAATGTTACACAACGCTTCGAAGACGGTTATTGGATTTCGGCAGGTCGCAGCTATAACACGGTAGAAGTATAGGTTTTTGTATAAGGCATGCTAAGTAATGTAACGCAGAAGCCAAACCTCTTTGACGCTAAGACTATACTAATCACGTGAAGATGATTTGAAATTTACAAATCGTTACGAAATTGTATACCTGACAAATTGTATTTATTTGTATATGTATTGTCGTTTGTTGCAAATGTTTAACGTAACTTTAAAAAAATGTCTCACATTAAAAAAAACAAAAACAAAATGGTTGTTTTATCAATAGATTCTTGCTAAATGATAAATGTTTTTCATATAAGAAAACTGATGTACTAATATGATCTCAACCGTTAAGTACAAAACTGCTTTAATGAAAACCAAAAAAGAAAAGCCCGATAGCTTTTAAGTGTTTAATAAGAAATCGCTAAGCCGAAAATAATTTAGTTGAATCAGTGACAACTAAACACTTAAAAGTCGGTCCTACCAGTACCGCAGCTACCTAACACTGAGCTAAGTTAACAAAATTAAACTTAACTACATATTTTTCAGTCAAGAACATTATTTATTTAGTAAAGTCAACTAGAAAATCTCGATTGAACTTTTTTTTCGGTGTGCCTACCTATAGTTACATTAGTTTACATTCGGTTAAATTTAACAGTAAGGTACTCGATTGTTTTTTATTTTTAATAGTGAAAATTGAGTAAGTACTGATATTATACAAAAACATATATTTTGTTTTCCTCTACACAAGGGTTGTGCTTTACCAACCTTGAATTCCTACGGCGGACGTTCTAATCCCTATAATCAAATCTTACAGTCAGAAAAACATCAAAAGAAAAAGCTATTCCAAGGAGAGGGTTAGTCTTTTCCTAGTTATATAGAAATTTAATTTTATTGCTGGGAGAGCCCGCGTATTTGTAGCCTACGAGGTTTTATATTGTTGTGTTTTCTATTATTCTATAATCCAGGCCAACCTTAGATTTTATAAGGGCAGTATTCAATGTATTAGGAAGATTCACATTATAAACAGCAAGAGTATAACTTTAATATTTAAAAAATATCGTATAAACGTTTTAAATATATTTTCCCCATAAAAACAGTTAAAACATATTTTACTATTAAATTTGAAAAAAGAACACTGTCAAATAATTGGCACGCAACTCAAAGGATCACATTCAACCATTTTAATAAATTAATATTCCAAAACAGGTAACCTGGAAACAATTTTGGTCGAAAGTGAAAAAATCACCAGGCACGAGAAACGAAAAAAAACATTTTCCAGAGAACCGTTTTTTATTGAGAAAGCAATAAAAAACGATTTTGTTTTAGGTGTACGCAATATACAGTGGCGTAATAAGGGGTGTGCCTTCGCCACTCCCTCCGGATATTTATATTTCCCATCTATAATTTCGGTGGCATTGGGGGGAAGATAAAATACTATGGTATGATTACCCAAAATAAGAGATGTATTATTATCTGGACGCCCCTTCACCAAAAAAAAATATGCCATCAAGGAGATACTGAGTATTTTAAAAGCAAGCTAGATTTCCATAATGTTTAACCTCAAGTATCGAGCCCCTTTCTCCTTAAAGACGGCTCAGTTCATATAAGTGCACAATCGGAGATGGACTGAGAATCATTAACTACAAGGTGGAAGTTCACGTACACAATACAACGCAACTAGAGGGGTGTTAGGGAGATTTTAGCATCCCCATACTCAAAATTAGCACTCCCAAAAATTCAAACCCCAATTCTTGGTTTGTAAGCATACGGTTTTAATATGTTCATATTCTGTCCAAATCATACTCTTGTCGAGCGATTTTTTTAAAGCTAGGTAGGTGATGAAAAACAATGTCGCATCCCTAATCAGACAGTTGTGGGTATAATTATTATACTGTTTGAACGGTACTCACGTCGGGCGAAGACATGGGGGTTTTGTCTTTGGTCGGCGTGGCGGGGGGTGCGAAAATGTTGCACGAGGAGGTGTTGATGGAAGTGGTGATGCTGTGCTTGGAAGACTTGTTGGGCGAGTTTCTGGACGGGAAGCTCAAGGTCTTGGTCCACAGAGCTAGGCTGCGACCCATTTCGAAAAAAAGAAAATAGGCAGTACTTAACAATAAACGTTCGGATCACAAAACTGTAAAAGGGCACGCGCACGTTTGTATATTTGATATTTTAATCGCACGCTGTCGTCAAAAAAAAAAAAAAATACACAAATATAATTTGTCGAAAGAACGTGATGTCGACACAACGATTAAAACGCGACTGGCCAAGACGGCGGCTTATGGATAGGATACAACCGGTGCGAAAGGACCTAACAGCAGCTGTTGCGGGGTCTGCCCCACCACCGCTATGTGTATTTGTCCTGCAGGCGCCGCCGCCGTTGCCTCCCATAACATGCACCGACTTGCAGCCACACGTCGCATAGGGTCTTACTTCCTTTAGTCATATTTTATTATTATTACATTATGTATTTAGCAGTCGTCCTCTAAGTGTTATTGCACTCTTTATACCCTCCCCCCTTACCCTCTCCTCCCTACCTCGAAATATGAATAAATAAATAATAAATATAAAACTGTTATCCGATTATCGAGTATGATATTCTATGCGGTCCAATGCATGATTTTTATAATGTACAATTTTTTTTATATAAATTAAATTGTCGATAATTTTAGGCGAAAGAAGTAAAAAAAAAATATATGTATATATATATATATATATCTAAAAAAAATTACATTTCACAACACAAATCATTTATTTATAAAACGTGATAAGTCAAAATTTTGTTGAAAACTACTTTTTTTAAATACCTAAATATGTTTTGGTTCATTTTTTTCAAACATTTACAACTAAAGTTTCTATTATTAATTTATATTTATTTTAAAAATATTTGCTTAAAAGTCATAATAAAATATATTGGTAAAGAAGTTTTCGTTTATACCATTCTGTTGCACACAATCCCGTTTGTGATTTAGTAATTTTATCTATGAAAAGATTTAAGGAACTCTTTTGTTTATGAAAAGGGTCAAATTCGTTTAACTAAAACTCTTATTGTTGGCTAAAAAATAAATTTGAAAAAATTGGTATTCACAAATTTAAATAGGTATAGTGCATAAGAATTTTTTATAATTTTTACTAAGTAAAATTATATGTGGAAAACGGATCATTTTAATTTCCCGAAAGTTTAACTTTTTTTACTAAAGCTTTTTGTGAACAATTATACCTAAATAATAGTTAGAATGAGTATGATATTATATTTTTGGCAAATTTTGAAAAAAAAAAAATGCAAAATGTCATTTGTCTGGATTAGATAAGCGGTATACGAAAACCTGGTTGTATAATTTCACTAGTATATTTCACCATTTAATTAAATCGCTTAACTAAATGAAACGTTTATATAAACGACAATGGTCAGTGTACAAACTATTAACGTTATATAATGTATTAAAAAAAAAACAGTAGTCGGTTGTCAGAGAGTGAGTAATAACGCTTTGGGCGAAAACCTATAACGTTTCGGTTATCGATCGACATAAACATTTTTTTTTTTATTATTACTTAACGAGGAAACGCACACTGTTTAAACTATATAAACGTAATTATAAGTCATCGTTTTATATGTGTACACATATCATATTATTATTATCATAGGCGTTAATTTTTTGTTTTATATAATCATTTTTAATTATATTTTACACTACTCGAGCATAACATATTATAATAAATGCCGCATAGAATAAAGATAAGAAAACGTTGGTTCTTTTACAACAATCACTGTACACATTACCGTCCTAAAAAATATTACTTTCGGCTTAACCGATGTAAGCTCTAACTAAAAAAAAAAATATGTATACAACCAAGCCATAAACGTGCTCGGTGCCAGTGTAAACAAAATTCTGTGCACACCAATTGGCTAGGTTAAATTCATGTTTATAAATTCCATTCGGTCAAAACGCAAGTAAATTTAAGATTTTACTCTTATTTAATACTTAAAGAATGTATATACTTATTCAAAAAAAAAAAACTAACAAACTTCCCACAAAAAAACATCATATGCAGATTGGTACCATTTTACGACCACTTGTACTTGAAACTTAAATATAAATATTTTTAACGTTTTTAAACTACTATTAAATAAAATAAAAAAATGTGAACAATGCAAACGGCGGTGCCGCGCATTATACCTTTGTTTTTTTATGATGACAAACCAACTGTGTTCCTATATGTAGATTAACACAGACAGATCAGACATCCTGTATGTTATAGCAGTGATTTCTACTTGACAACCGACGAAGTCTGGAAAAAGGGTTATACGCGATTAACGTTTCTCTGAAACGTTTACTTGACTATATAGATACTAATTACTGCGTTTTTCATACCACAAGTGTAACATCTTATGTTCTAATTAGCCTGGAAATCTAATAACGTCCGATCGAGACGAGCCTAGTTAGCCACACGCTTTAATTCAATTAACTCTTAACAAAAATAACACAAAACATGAGGATTTCTACTTGAGATGGCGCTCGATAAAGTAGAGTAGGTTTTTTTTTCATTCTATGCGTTGTACAAACCTAATTTTTAAATGTTTAACCACTACAAAGCCAACAATAATAAAAAATATCTAATAAGAAATTGATTTGTAGTCCGAATAGTAGCCAACTAATAAACAACTAAGAAAGGTTACCTTAAATAATGCATATTATTATTATTTGCAATCATTCTATTTTATGGAAAAATAAAAAAAAATTCACCAGACCTATTAAATATGATAATAATATTATTATATAATATGATACTCGACGCTCATATAATTATTACTTTATTATTCAAATCGTTTTGAATTGTGAATAATTATTTCAAAGCAATGTAATAATTGCAAACCGGATATATTATTCGTGGAAAAAAAATTAAGTACCAGACTTTTGCATTAAAAATAAAAATAAAAATTTTAATACAATACAATTTCAGTACAATTTTCCGCATTTAAATGTGCACGATTTTCGCACGTAGGTAATTTATATACGTTTAATTGTATTCTTACTCGATTATTTTGTTATTAAGGCTTTATTTTAACGCGAAACGGATTTTATAAGTGTGAACACAGTCAATGTTTTAATAGTACAATTAACAGTGGTTGTGTTTTTTAATTAAAGCACACTGCGTCGTACGTCATACGTCGTACAATTTTACCGATTAACATTCACAATCGGTATAAAGTGAAGTCAACAAGTCAAACGACTTATTACATTATAATTATTGTATATTTTAAGCCGGTACAGTTTTTTATAATATAGGGGGGTGGGTGGCAGGACAGGGGGCTACCCGGCTTAAACCTAAACCTACACGTGTGTTCGTTCACACGGTTACAATTTATATATATAATGAATAAAACAAAACTATACATCATAATGACACTATATAGTAAAGCGTTTGGTTTGATAACAATATTATACACTGATAACATTCAAAATGGAACAAGCCAAGCGGATCCGATTTTTTGGTTCAGCGGTTTATTAAAAAGAAAATTATATATATTTTTTTTAAATAACATATTTTATGATAGGCTTAACCCGGCTCTGAGAGTGCGAAGAACAGCTAATGCGATCACACGAATACCGCGAGAAATGGCCTGTACGGTAGTAGTAGCTGTTGGAGTGTGTATAAGTGTATCTGTGTATAATATGTATGTATATATAAAGAAACAGGTTTAGCGCCGTGTCCTTTACGACGACATCAGCGTCCTTGCCTCGGGCTAAGTGGTCGCAGTCATCCGAGTAGTCGCCGGAGCTTGAAAAAAAAACAACAACACAACGCTGCAATATGTGTGTGTCTTTCCTCCTTTTTTTTTTTTTACACACTATATGTTATTATTATTATCGTTATTGTTGTTGTCGTTGTAATAACGTTTAACCGTTCCTTAACCCGCCGCCCCCGTCCCTCGGGAACACAGCATTTCCAGTGGTTCCGGTCGGTTGGACACACACATACACAGAAACAAACTTATACGCTACATGTGTGTGTACTGTATTACAGTAGACTAAACAAAAATTACAATATTTCTTCGATGAGACAATTTTTATTTCAGTGTGTACATAAAGAAATACCATAATAATCTAGTTATGCAGCGGTTAGAAAATTAATAAGTGTGCAATATACCTCCTGACCGCATTTTTACAATATATTATGTTGGCTAGCCAACAAGGGACGAGGGTTACAATACATCATCCCCTAGAGTCTTAATTTTTATAAATAGTTTGTTTGATTAAGAGCTCTATCATTTTTTTTTAACTTTAACGGTAACGTATACATTTAATTAGCTTTTTAAATTAGGAATAATTTACTGAAAATTTTGATTGGTCGATTACCAGTTTTGGGTAATTACTTCCGGAGTATTATAATGTTTAAATTTTAAACAGGAAGTGCAGTGCAGTATATAGTAATGCGGGCAGATAAAAATATTACTACACTTCACCATATATACTTCCTGTCCTAAATGCTTAACTTTGACAACATTAAACGCAATTATCGAAAACTAGTTGGCGACCAGTTAGCACCAGTTCAGCGTAGACTATTATTAATTTAATTAGTTAATTAAATATATTATACGTTACCGCTTAAGTTTCAAAAGTTAACAGAGCTACGGAAAATACTAATAAGGTAAATATTTTGGTAATTTTATAATATTGTAAGATGAACAAAAACGTTTTCAAAAAGAAAAGCTAAAAAGTTGTGATTATTTTATGTAAAACCACATAAAATAATCACAACTTTTTACTGCCTTATACTTAATGAATCACCCTTTATATGTGATTGCGGCACTAATGTCATCAGCCGTAACTGCTAAACAAATACATTCTAGAACTATCATTTAGAACGCTTAATTTAATTGAATACAAACCTCCCAACCCTATTTTTGCATTAATTTTTTGTTTTCACCGCCCACAAGTGAATAAAAAACATAACCAGTGTATAATGTATTGTAATATCATAATAGTTTATGATGATTAACCTAACCTATTTTGTATACATCAGAGTCTGTCGATATTTTATCGTAGGGACACGATAAATAACATTGTTGTTATAATATGGGGACGAACTAGAGAAATAAGTGATTATTGTAAAACCAAAAATGTAATCTTCAAGGTTTCTGACCGGTCCAATGCTCGCTGCATATTATATAGATCTCTATCGGACCGGGATTGTGACGATAACCACTACTTGATCCTTAATAGACCGTGTCGCCCA